TCTAAAACTGTGTTCCGTTACCATAAGAGTAACCGACTCAACCGGGAAGCCAGTTTAAAAGTTACATGGCACATATCTACACAAACTGAAAATCTCTCACAATCCAAATCATGCAGTCTGAAAGCCTACATGTTTCTATACTACACAACACACTTAACATCTGAGTACCTCTCACAGAAGAGTTTCTAGCCGAACTATTTTCTTTATTCACGCCCTTGACCCCGTGGGTCGCCCATTGATACAGTGTACTGCGACCTTCTGTGTTCTCCCTTCACAAAGAACTGCGTTGCCTGAGCGGACGGATCACTTTCAAACTGTACTTGCATTGCTGAAACCTGGCATCCCAACAAGGTACCATGGTCACCAGGGCGGTGTTCATTATCGCATTTGTAGCATCTGTGGCAGTTGCGGACCCTGCCCAATACCTGGATTGTGGTGAGAATCAAGTTGTTGTTTGTGAAATTAACACTACAGAACGTGACATGGGGGGGGGGCAGTTTTGAAAAAAAAAACCCAGACGTACTAGTATCTGCAAAACAGTTTGTGCATGATGAGTTTAAACAACTTGTTTTGGGGATATCGATATCATACATTTGTATATGAATTGTGTCTTGTAAACAAACTGCTCTTTAAAGGGTACTGGGTCCTGGTTGCTTTGCAATTAACCAGAGTTAATCTATCAAGTTGTTTATATTTCTGTAGGATCATCAGCAAAGCTCCATTCTGTTGATGTAACTCCCTGTCCCGCCAGTGTGACATGTGGGCTGATCAGAGGTGAAAATGCCAGCATTGCTGTCACGTTTACTACAGGTATGTCTTATCTTTCTCATATATAAAAGATTAAGACATAATTACTAGTATCTGGTATAAATTTTGCTTCTTGAGGTCCACAACTTCGTTCGTTTATTCGTTTATTTCAATACCCTTTAGTCCATAACTAATCTTCAAGGGTTCAAAACATATAAACATATGAACATACTGACAGCAAATTTAAAAGTTGACTAAAAATTATCCTGTTGTTGACTAAAAAGTGTTCTGCCTGTTTGTATAGACGTATCATTATTGAAGTCGGAACTACATTGTATTTTCATTTATTTTCATAAAAATAATTGTGTGTTTTCTTTCCTACATTAGAGAAGGTAGCGAACTCTGTCGTCGCTGTGGTTCACGCAATCGTGGCAGGAGTTCCCCTCCCCTTCCCACTCCCCAACCCTGATGGCTGTCAGGACTCTGGCCTGGAGTGTCCTCTCAACTCATCCACAACTTACACACACACTACCATACTGCCTGTCAAATCAGGTTACCCTATGGTAACAACCGTACTGTTATGTTTTCGTTGGCGTTCGTGTGTGTGTGTGTGTGTGTGTGTGTGTGTGAGTGTGTGTGTGTGAACACGATAACTCAAGAAGGCTAAGATGGATTGTCTTTCTATTTGGTAGGTGGGTAGGTCTTGATGAGACCTCGAACTGATTAGATTTTGGACCCCCTGGCAGCTTGTTGTGGTACTGCAGCTGAACTTCCGGTTTTGATATCTCGTGATCTGGACATGGTAGAGTCACTAAATTTAAATAGTAGGTAGCTCTTTGGCTGCGGAAGAAGTGACATGAGTTTGGGCCCCCTGGCGGCTTGTTCTGGAACTGCAGAAGCATTCGTTGAAAAATATTCGAAGGGGGATAACTCAAGAACCGATTGACGGATCATCATGATTTTTGGTATGTGAGTACCTTAAAGAATGCTTGATAAAATTATAGTTACGCAAATCAGCAGCTAATTAGCATAATTAATGAGGAAATGCTATAAATCTGCTACCTCCCATGATATGATTATTCAAACATGTGTAATTGTGAAGAAGAAGAACATTGGCAGATAGTGTTTATGCAAAGGAATGCCTAATTGGCATAATTAATGCGAATCGTCAACATTCGTCATGGCCCAAGGGTAACATCATTTGGCGAAGGTATGAGATCGTGGAACTCTAGTTACCCTGTGTTATTGTGTGACAGTTTTTGTTTTGTATTGATGTATTCTATGTTAAGGTCCGCAGGGAGAATATCTGAGATGTCAAGCTGAATTGTGGATCCTAATAAATAAAAAATCAGTTGATGTGGAAAAATGCTAACAGTCATAATCTTGGCCTAGTCCTTGCAGCAGGAAATGTACAGTTAAAATTCTATACCACTGATTTAAGAATCAAGAAAGTCGACTGATACCTACTCTTGTTTTGTCTTTTCCAGGTAAGACTGGTTGTGAAGTTGGAGTTAAAGGGTTGGGAGGGGCATACTATCTTCTGCATTGAGTTCCCTGCCGAAATAAAAGATAATGACGTATATACTAAGTAGAATATAAAACAGGGCAACTTCCCTGTCTTCTATTGGGGAGACTGATAGCATGCACCATTGTCTGGGCTTGAATATGATTCAGCGATATGCACCAATTAGATTTATGATCCTTTAAGCAGTTACAGAAGCTCCTGTTCTGAAACAACAGGAGCTTCTTTACTAATTTGCATCATCATTGTCTAACTTTTGTTTCCTTTTGAACTTCCAAAAATTTGGCTTTACTTATCTGGATATCAATCAATAGTTCTTACTTATAAACTCTTACTGTCACTGACGAAAGGTAGTGGATGTTACCTGAAACATACGACCATTTCCAAAATCATATCCAGTTGCTTGAGTAACTTCCTGAGTCTAACCTTCATCAACGTAACTCTACATGTTGTTGTTTAGAGTACGTGTATACGTTATGATAGCATGCAGAAATACCTGTGCCCAAGGATTGCTTTTTAACTCTTGCTTCATGTTTACTTCAGACAATATAACCACTTACTCAAGAGGGGCTACTTGTTATCACCGACCATCTTCTGACTTTATATGAAAGCTGCTTTTTCCATCTGTTAAGTTTGGGAGAACAATCTAGAAAAAACATAGAATCAAACAAGTGGACAGGTCAAAGTATATGATCAAAAACACTGTTTACATCACTATACTGTTTCCAATCTGCAAAATATAAAACTTCACTGAGAACTGTCGCCTATGGACACTTGTTTAATGTCTTGGGGTGGTGGGACTTCGGCGCACTGTTATGTCATATGTATGTATGTTAACTTGTGTATTTTGTTGTGTGGCGCTGTTAAAATTAGTTTTAAAAACTCGAGTGCAGCGCCACACGGTCCTTGTTATTGTATTGTTTTCCTATGTGTTGACGAATAAAAAAAGTTCTCCAACCCCTTCTACGCAAGTAAACAATCCCATCGGGACCAATGTTCAAAGTGAACCCAACAACGTCATTACAGAATCCTAGTCGAAGGAGGGATAAATTCTCCCGGATTTGGTAGTACATTGATGTGCATGTATAAGGGTCCCTAACGACTTATTTGAGCGTATAAAGTGCCGCGATGATTGGCACCAAGAGACCACGTCTAGCGGGAAAAAATTCAATAACAAATCCCGGATATATCACGGACCCGTACACAGGGGATGTACTGGGATCACCGATATATCCGGGACCCGCAGCTTAATTTTCTTGTTCTAAACTGTGAACGCTACAGAATTTGGCGCTACCAAATTTTGCGGTAAAAATGCCGCATTTTCCAGTGAGAACTGTTCATTGGGAGATGAATGGAGATTTCTCGTTGGATGTTTGGTCAACGTTGCATCACAATTTTGCCCGCGTTGCAGAGGTAGCCACGAGTAAACTGCGCTGTGTGGCATAGAAATGTATTGATCGGGTTTTAGACTGCATGATTTGGACTGTGTATGAATGCGCCGCATTTCGCAACTGCGTTCCAGGGTGAGCCAGCTGCAGTTCCGTTGACCTTCGCAGGTGGCCGTATAAAAGTAAAATGTTAAAATATACAAATGAAATATAACCTTTCTTTTACAGTTTTCTTGTAGATTAGTACTAGGTCAATGGATAGATGACGTGAGGTGAGTTTTTGCCGTGTTTCTCTAGTGCACCCTACCAAAATTTACCGTCTCGAAGTGAGTCACTTTGGGGCCCTTAACTGTCGAAATCTAAAACTGTGTTCCGTTACCATAAGAGTAACCGACTCAACCGGGAAGCCAGTTTAAAAGTTACATGGCACATATCTACACAAACTGAAAATCTCTCACAATCCAAATCATGCAGTCTGAAAGCCTACATGTTTCTATACTACACAACACACTTAACATCTGAGTACCTCTCACAGAAGAGTTTCTAGCCGAACTATTTTCTTTATTCACGCCCTTGACCCCGTGGGTCGCCCATTGATACAGTGTACTGCGACCTTCTGTGTTCTCCCTTCACAAAGAACTGTGTTGCCTGAGCGGACGGATCACTTTCAAACTGTACTTGCATTGCTAAAAACCTGGCATCACAACAAGGTACCATGGTCACCAGGGCGGTGTTCATTATCGCATTTGTAGCATCTGTGGCGGTTGCGGACCCTGCCCAATACCTGGATTGTGGTGAGAATCAAGTTGTTGTTTGTGAAATTAACACTACAGAACGTGACATGGGGGGGGGGCAGTTTTGAAAAAAAAAAACAAAAACAGACGTACTAGTATCTGCAAAACAGTTTGTGCATGATGACTTTAAACAACTTGTTTTTGGGATATCGATATCATACATTTGTATATGAATTGTGTCTTGTAAACAAACTGCTCTTTAAAGGGTACTGGGTCCTGGTTGCTTTGCAATTAACCAGAGTTAATCTATCAAGTTGTTTATATTTCTGTAGGATCATCAGCAAAGCTCCATTCTGTTGATGTAACTCCCTGTCCCGCCGGTGTGACATACGCTGTGCTGGTCAGAGGTGAAAATGCCAGCATTGCTGTCACGTTTACCACAGGTATGTCTTATATTTCTCATCAGGTATGTCTTATATTTCTCATGTATAAAAGATTAACACATAATTACTAGTATCTGGTATAAATTTTGCTTCTTGAGGTCCACAAGTTGACTAAAAATCATTCTCTTGTTGACTAATAAATGTTCTGCCTGATTGTATAGACGTATCATTATTGAAGTCGGAACTACATTGTATTTTCATTTATTTTCATAAAAATAATTGTGCGTTTTCTTTCCTACATTAGAGAAGGTAGCGAACTCTGTCGTCGCTGTGGTTCACGCAATCGTGGCAGGAGTTCCCCTCCCCTTCCCACTGCCCAACCCTGATGGCTGTCAGGACTCAGGGCTGGAGTGTCCTCTCAACTCATCCACACCTTACACATACACTAACACAGTGCCTGTCCAATCAGGTTACCCTAAGGTAACAACCGTACTGTCTGTGTTATTACCTTTGCCAAGAAGGTTATGTTTTCGTTGGCGTTCGTGTGTGTGTGTGTGTGTGTGTGTGTGTGTCTGTGTGTGTGTGTCTGTGTGTGTCTGTGTGTCTGTGTGAACACGATAACTCAAGAAGGCTAATATGGATTGTCTTTCTATTTGGTAGGTCGGTAGGTCTTGATGAGACCTCGAACTGATTAGATTTTGGACCCCCTGGCAGCTTGTTGTGGTACTGCAGCTGAACTTCCGGTTTTGATATCTCGTGATCTGGACATGGTAGGGGCACTAAATTTAAATGGTAGGTAGCTCTTTGGCTGCGGAAGAAGTGACATGAGTTTGGGCCCCCTGGCGGCTTGTTCTGGAACTGCAGAAGCATTCGTTGAAAAATATTCGAAGGAGGATAACTCAAGAACCGATTGACGGATCATCATGATTTTTGGTATGTGAGTACCTTAAAGAATGCTTGACATATTAAAATTATAGTTATGCAAATCAGCAGCTAATTAGCATAATTAATGAGGAAATGCTATAAATCTGCTACCTCCCATGATATGATTATTCAAACGTGTGGCATGTGTAATTGTGAAGAAGAAGAACATTGGCAGGTAGTGTTTATGCAAAGGAATGCCTAATTGGCATAATTAATGCGAATCGTCAACATTCGTCATGGCCCAAGGGTAACATCATTTGGCGAAGGTACGAGATCGTGGAACTCTAGTTACCCTGTGTTATTGTGTGACAGTTTTTGTTTGTATTCTATGTTAAGGTCTACAGGGAGAATATCTGAGATGTCAAGCTGAATTGTGAATCCTAATAAATAAAAAATCAGTTGATGTGGAAAAATGCCGACAGTCATAATCGTGGCCTAGTCCTTGCAGCAGGAAATGTACAGTTAAAATTCTACACCACTGATTCAAGAATCAAGAAAGTCGACTGATACGTTCTCTTGTTTTGTCTTTTCCAGATAAAACTGGTTGTGAAGTTGGAGTTAAAGGATAGGAAGGGAGATAATATCGTCTGCACTGCGTTCCCTGCCGAAATATACTAAGTAGAATATAAAACAGGGCAACTTCCCTGTCTCCTATTGGGGAGACTGATAGCATGCACCATTGTCTGAGCTTAAATATGATTCAGCGATATGCACCAATATGATGTATGATTCTTTAAGCTGTTACAGAAGCTCCTGTTCTGAAACAACATCAGGAGCTTCTTTACTAATTTGCATCATTTTTTGTCTAACTTTTGTTTCCTTTTCTTGACATTGCTATACTGTTCCCAATCTGCAAAATATAAAACTTCACTGAGAACTGTCGCCTATGGACACTTGTTTAATGTCTTGGGGTGGTGGGACTTCGGCGCACTGTTATGTCATATGTCTGTATGTTAACTTGTGTATTTTGCTGTGTGTAGCGCTTATAAAATAAGTTTTGATAACTCGAGTGCAGCGCCACACGGTCCTTGTTATTGTTTTGCTATGTGTTGACAAATAAAAAAAAGTTCTCCAACTCGTTCGAATTCTACGCAAGTAAAAAGTCACATCGGGACCAATATGTCCCAAGTGGACCCAACAACGTCATTACTTTCTGCATGCAGAATCCTAGTCGAAGGAGGGATAAATTCCCCCGGATTTGTACATTGATGTATAAGGGTAGCCTCTACCAGGCACCGCGGATCGCTGGAAATTTTTTTGGGCCATAGAAGATCCATTTCGCGACCCGGGGGTCTTCTCTGGTATATTATTCCTTTATTTCGGCCAATTTCTACTATTTTTCCAGCGATCCGCGGTGCCTGGTAGAGGCTAGTATAAGGGTCCCTAACCACCTATTTGAGCGTATGAAGTGCCGCGATGATTGTCACCAAGAGACCACGTCTAGCGGGAAAAAATTCAATAACAACATGTTTTCGCGGATCAAATCCCGGATATATATTTCAGGGACCCGTACACAGGGCAGGTACTGGAATCAGCGATATATCCGGGACCCGCAGCTTAATCTTGTTTGTTTCTAAACAGTGAGCGTTACAGAATTTGGTGCTACCACAAAGGTGCCCCATTTTCCAGTGAGAACTGTTCATCGAGAGATTAATGGAAAATTTCTCGTTGGATGTTTGGTCAACGTTGCATCACAATTCTGCCCGTTGCAGACGATATCTTTTCTGCAAATACCACCTTAAACGAGCCGTTCTGCTGAAGTGCTATGCATAATAAATATATTCCGGGTTTTGCGCGGACAAGATACGGTCTGCCGAAGTGATTTAGCGATGAAACTTGCGGCCTAAAAAGAATATAGCTGGCCAGGGGAGTTAGCCGGCCATAAAGTGTCCAGTGCAGGCAAACTGGACACTTTATGATGCCTACTATTTACTCAGCCTGCAATGGAGTCTGGTGGAGAATAGAACTTGCCTCTCAGAAGGCAAACTGTACCTCTTTAGCGGACTAACTCCCCTGGCATGTGTTATCTGTCCATTTGGGCCAATTTCTACTCTTTCCCACCGCCTCTGAAGCCTGGTAGAGGCTACCCGTTCACAATATTCACATCACAAAAGGATTGACACAAGCTACCAGTTCAAGTTCTCTCTTCACCAAAACGGGAAGAACATCGTTGTTTGTGCGAATATAAAGAACGCCATACAATGTCGTCATCATAGCTCCAATGATACTAAAAATACACCAAGTAATAATCACTACTTATTTGATCTCTCGGCTCAAATAAAACAAACTTAGAATCTAGCCTGTATGTCCGACATATGTCGGCTAGTTTCAAAGGCATCCAATGTAAATTCAGGGTGGCAAAACAAAAAAGGATATTAATATTCTCGATTAGAAAATCTGCCAGATATTTACATTTACTGCCATTTCTTAGCACATTTTCGTCATCATTTTATACTTCAAGCGTTTAAAATAGCTCCAAAACAAACTACGTGAAGAGTGATCTATTTTTTTACCAAGTAGCTAGAACCTGTAACCGTTTTCTGTTGAAAGCGACATCACATTTTTGCCTCACAGATATCAGTAGACTAGTATGATATGACATAAGGTTGGTTCAACTTACTTTTCCAAAAAGTAATCAGCAAATTGATCATGACTTTGAAAATATCCAGTTTTACTGCCGTGAAATCGCTTTGGGTGCCTTAGGTGCCTCCATTTCAAACTCATCAAATAGACGTCGCTGTAGTTAATAGCTGACAAAACTCCTAAGGTATCAAATAATACAAAGTTGGGGATGTTCTGGTTATTTGGAAGCTGCTGGTCAGTGCATCTGCTATCATATTGCTAGAACCGTGCCTTCCTAGTTCTATGCCTGAATGGGTTGGGGTTAGGATCAGGCACGGTTCTGGATAGTCTCCGCGTATCCAAGAACGTAGGTTTGCCCTAGGCACGGTTCTGGATACGCGTGGACCATCCAGAGCAGTGCGTGCCTGAGCATTGTTCTAAAACAGCTACTAATATAACACAAGTTTTAGTTCTTGATAAAGCATGTTTCTCAATACAACAGTACCTATAGGTTTGTCTCAAGTCGTAAACAGTGCCAACAACAATATGTACATTGGTAAGTGTCAGAACGGCAAAAATACTGTATACTCTGTACTAAAATAAGCACCTTTACCTAATTGAACATGAACACATACTGTGCACATACGAAACGTTATATATGAAGCTACTGTTACTTTTGTCACTGAATACACCTGTGGGGAAACATCACGTATTTGGAAGGTTGTGAGAAATATAATTTACACAGGTGTTCGTCGCTCTTTGCATATGGCAGGAAGGAAATGTGTACTCTCCAAGCAGAGGTTAAGGCTTTGGCTTATTTTTGACGTGTTTTTAGACGTTTTTATCGGTCTTTTTGTACCTTTTTTTTCCAGCCTCAATAACGTACTGTCTTTTGATACCGCCTAGTTATAGCCAGCAAAATGTCTGCTTGGAGATTAAGAAATGTGAACCAAAGGCATCGGTAGTACTTTGCGATGAATGTAACGTTACATACATCACTCATCTGGTGGTTGTCGTTATATTTACTTCAGACAGGGGGCTCTTGATGTCCTTACCACTGTCTGGTGATTCACTACGGACTAGCATGAAGAATTGCAACCTATTAGAAGTGAAACAGGCTATACAGGATGTGCAATAGCCAATACTGAACCAAGGAGGCCATACATAACGTTTAGTTTAGTTTACAGAATATTGTAGCGATCCTCCTTGCACACTAGTTCAAAAACACTGGTTCTGCTATTCTGTATGTCACTGCACATATGTGCAATTGTGTACATCTTTATAAATATGTATAATGTATCTCCGATGCACACATTGACATGTCGCAAAACAACAAACTTTGTGTTTCCGAAGTGATCATTATGATGACAACAAACCTACCAGCAAAGTGGAGTTGTAGCTGGATATTTTAGTCTTTAATACTGTATTAATTTCAAACGACTTAGGATACTCTTTTATGTATAAATAACATCCAAGAATAGTTCATTCACGTAAAATAGACAAGGTATTATAGGAATAAAAGTATCTGAATGTATCATTGTCCGAGTAAGTCAAGAATATAGGACAAGGAATATTTCTAAGTGAACACTGGAGAAAAGTAGTGTAATTTTTTTACTCATAAAGGAAACTCTGACTTTCTACACAATCCTAAAAGTGCACAGCACTATATAATGCAGAAAACCACAACTGACATTGCACAACAAAAGCGTATACTCTCCATGGCGTGTTTCCATCGCGTAAACGGTCGTTGCCATTTGAAACGCGTACGGTCCATGCCTTATCGCTGAATGGTTTTGAGGGGCAAAAGCATTTGAAACATTTCAATAGCAACTGCACGACATGTATGGTGGAAAAAAAGCAAAGATATTGATAGTAAAAAAGACATAAGCTCGGGTTCAAAACCGGGTCAAAAAGCCTAATCGTAAAAAGCCTGATTCTCAAACCTGAACAACACACTTTGTCACAGCTTGTCTTTCTGCGATATGGGATCGACCGTTAAATTTCAAATGGCAACGGCTGTATATACGAGATGTACATGTAAATTAACCTCGTCTAGTAAATTCTCTCTTGTAGCGAGTTCATGAGGAAAGTTTCCACAGCTCGCGGGAGGTTGAGGGCCCGAACGCCCAGGGACAGTTTACAGTTTTTGGCGACGCAACCACGGATGACCATACGGCACAGTGTTCGGAGAGACGTGGGCGCCTGGCACAGCTCCAGGATGTCTTTCTTCATGGCGCGATTGCTCTCCAGTTGCCACTGGAGCTGCAGTTCCAAACAGGACCGCAAGGTGGACCTGCTGGGACCGCGGATTGGGAGCGCGTGGTGCAGGAGGAGTTGGACGCACCTTTTGAAGTCGTCCACGTTGGCGCCTTTCTTACTGCTGCAGTACTGCAGGCCGCGTGCACAGGACGCTCATCGGCGTGGAGGTGACGTCGTACGGGCGGCAGCTGTCTGGAGCGGCGCCCTCGTTCAGCAGCAGCTCGACTCCGTCCGAGAAACACCACGCGCACGCCTCTTCCAGCGGCCAGCGGTCCTCGTCAGGGTTGTTGGTGAGAGCGCCCGCCGCCAGCAGCACTTTAGCCAGCTCTATGTTCTGTGCGTGCATGGCGAGAGTCAGCGGCCCGTGGCAGAACGTCTGTGTGTTGTTGGGCCTCCTGATGTTGCAGGGCCCGCAGGAGCAGTGGTACCGCGCGATGAAGTTCACGTTAGCGCCGTGCGCGATTAACAGCTTCACGCAGTTGATGTGTCCCCGCATGCACGCTATGAACAAGGGGGTACATGCCACGCAGTCCACGTCCACCACGGCCCCTTGCCTCAGCAACAGCTTGGCGCATTCGATGTTGCCACTTTCACACGCGTAGAACAGGGGTGTCTTGCATGGTCGATCGTCCAGGGGGCGCTGCATCCACATCCTGTGTCGAAATGAAGAGGATACAAAACTGAATATTTTTGTTCAACTTCAATGTTGCACCTTTTGTTGAGTGCGAAAATAACAACATACCATACATCTCAAAAACTCCAATAGAACTGATGATTTCATCGTTTGACAAGAAATCTGAGATTCTAAACCTCCGGGAAATATATGTAATGCATAATGTTCACAACGACTGCTACCAATTTCAGACATCAGTAGTAATCTCAATCAGACACCTCAATCCTTGGTTGATAACTCTGGTATACGTACTTTAAGGCATGGCTATTTCTTGTTCTCTTCTCGGCTGGTATTAGATACTTAGTAATTGGGACGTCCATCAGTTTATTAGTCATTTTGTACATCATGCATAGTCTGAACATTTTTCTTCTGTCTTCCAGTGACACCCACTGTGGGTTACTTTTCATTTCTGTGACACTAGCACCTCTTTCATAGTTGTTCATACAGAATCTTGCAGCTTGATTCTGTACCCTTTCCAGTTTATCTTTGTCTTTCTTTGTATATGGATCCCATACTGTCGCGGCATATTCTAGGTTCAATACAGGCTTAACCCCTCTTCCCCGTCTCCAGTAACTAATCATTTACCGAAAATCAAGGAAATCCGTTAGAGCTGCGAACACACGAACATGACCAAAAACAATACCTTCCCGCGGAAGGATATCTCCTTTCCCGGAGGTGATTACAAACGTTACACACTACTCCTCACCTGTGAAACTCCAGTTCGTCCGGCGCTCCCCCGGACATGGTGCTCCTGATCTTCTCCAGAGTCTCGATGTTCTGCCGGGAGGTGCACATGCAGCCTGCCGGGAAGTGCTCGGGGTTGGGGCTGCCCAGGTTGACCAGGGCTCCGTACTCGATGAGAAGGTGGGCGCACTTCAGATGCCCAAACTTGCAGGCCAGATGGAGAGGCGGCGTCATGCAGATGAACTTCCTCCGCTGGATCAGGGTGATGTAGTCCTGCATTTTCTCCTCCGGCTCGGCTAAGTTTGGGCAGGCCTGATACTCCAGCAGCAGCGCCACGATGTGGTGGTGTCCGTACACGCAGGCCAACTGCAGCGGTGACGGCGGGTAGGCGTCCAGCACTACCCCGAACGGGCTGGACCCGCTCCAAAACTTCCGGGAAATCTTCGAGTTCTCGTCGGCGCCGTAGCGCAGCAGGAGCCTGGCGCAGTCGTAGTTGCCCTGCGCGCACGCCATCTGCAGCGGCGTCATCCCGTACAGGTACGTGCGGGAGAACTCGAACTCTCCGCCGCAGGGCACGTACGGGTTCCCCGCTACCCCCTTCACGCAGCTGATGTTGATGGCGTCCACGAAGGCCCGGTACTTGAGCAGCAGCTCCAAGCAGACCAGGTCGTTGTTCTCCACGGCTTTGTGCAGCTCCAGTTTACTGTTGTTGCGTGAGACTCGCCTGCTGCAGGCGATGCTGGTCTTGTGCTGCAGCAGGAGTTCCACGCATCTGTACGCAATGACACAAACGTATGATATAGCATGAAAGTTCATCTGTGTTGGTACAAGTCATTATGAAACTAGAAAGGCCAATATTTGCTTTGGAGCAAATACAGCGATGGGTTCACCACATTTTACGACATGGCAGGGAAAGAATGGGAAACACAAGGGAAAACAATGATTTACATTGATATAACTATAATATGAAGTAAAATACAACTAAAACAACAGTTGGATAGCTATTCCATACTTTATTGGTTAGGATTTTTAATTGCATAATGCAAACTGTTGATTTTCAAAATAAAATAAAAAAACGTCCATGCCCGGCATTCCAATGCTGGAGCAGGAAAGCTTGAAATACCTACCAAAACACTTGAATACAGACATACTGTCAGTATGGAAATGCTTCTGTGCAGGTGTTAATCAAGTTAAATCCCAACAGCCAATCAGCAAGAAGTATAGAGGAAAGCTGCATGCCTATTGGTTGATGCCCTGCATTCCATTCTGATGACTCATGCCCAAACGTGGTAAACAAGGCAGACTAACACAGTAATACATTTGCTATAACACAGCCAAAAAACTCAAATAAAACCATTCTAAAAGCCTGTATCACAATAATTTAAAAAACGCCTAGGGGTATTTGCCCACTGTACCTCCATACCAAATTTCAGGACCTTAGGCCCTAAAATGAAGGAGCTGAATCCATTTAAAGATATGGCAGGAGGAGGAGAAGGAGAAGAAACATCAGAAAAAGCAATATGGTTTCACCACACCACTTCGTGGTGTGGTGAACCCATAATAAACAATTTCTCTCCAACACTGGAATGAACTGGATTTTGCTGACGTCATGTTCCAAGAGTACGCGGGTCCATTCCGTAAACAAGGTTGAAGGAGTCAGTCGAAAATTTGGGGTAAGTCCCAATTCATTGCAGTATTGGAGAGGAAGCTTAGTCTTTATTTCATAACAAATATATGATGTTATAAGCTATTCACATTTCTTAAAAATCAAATATAACAGATTTCAAGACGCGATGTTAATTCCCACAATGCAAAAATACGTAAATATACAAAAGATCGCTTTGTTATTAGAAAAAATACCGAAACTCATGATTAGCTCCAATCGACAATTAATTCAGCAAATTCAACGTTTCGTGCAGTGAATTATCTGACAAAACAAAACAAAACAAAACAAAACGTATACAATGTATCCAGATTAGACCTAAGTTTACATCTACGTATTATATGTGTGTGGATGCCATGCAACGTAAAATGCACAGTCAGAGCAAAGTGTAATTATCTATACCTATGGTGGCTCTTCTTGCATGCTATGTACAGCGGTGTCTCTCCGTTGCTGTCGCACTCGCTCAGGTTGTAGGCCTCCACCTCCAGTACCCATGCCAGTTGTTTGATGTCGTTCAGCGTACATGCCACGTGCAGCGGGTTATTAACACTGCAAGGGAAGGGGTGATGGAAACTTTATCAATATCAGAGAGTTGTTGATGTCTTCTATCTGTTCTTATCGAGTAACCTAGACTATGCCGCGACAGTATGGGATCCATATACAAAGAAGGTCAAAGATAAACTGGAAAGGGTACAGAATCAAGCTGAAATATTCTGCACAAACAATTATAAAATGGATGCTAGTGTAACAGAAATGCAAAGTGGACACTGGAAGACAGACGAAAAATATCCAGACTATGCATGATGTACAAAATAATGTACAAGAAAATGCCTTCAAGTACCACAGTTATCAACCAAGGATTGAAGTGTTCAAAAACTCATTCTTTACTATCGTAGAGTGGAACTCACTGTCACCAAGTACAGTAGGGACATTGTCATTAGATAGGTAGCTTTAAACAATGTTTAGAGGTATATGTTCAAACGTTAGGTGTAACATGTCGTTCGGTGTAATGTAGCCTTTCCCTCCTGACATCTGCTTGTTTTTCATTCATAGGGTAACGTATCCGATACCCAACCAACCAATGTGATACCCTTGTAGAAATTGGTCAAATAGGCTGAATAGGAGGACTACCGGCTAGAGTACTATTTTTCCTGCAATCCTAATTACAAACTGACGCCAATGTCCTCAGGCAACATCTGACGTTAATTGTATCAGGATATTATGGCAGCAATAGACCCTTTGACTGTCCATAATAACACATTTATCATTTCAACCAATGAGAGGATAGCAATTATCGATTCAGCCAATGAGAGAGCGGCCGTATGTGCGTCAGATATTTGCATGCGTGCGTTCTGACGGAGGTGGGCGGAGCTACAGACGGCAGCTGGCCGCCGGCACGTGTTTGCGGTGACGTCAAACGTTGCTTACCGCCGCCGCGGCAGCCACTCACCCGTTAATGGTGGTCTCCAGATCGCTGCAGTCTGAATCCGTGCTGAGGCCGCTCCCCACTGGCTCACGTACGGCTCCAGCGGGCGGCGCGCGGGCTTTCTGACGTAACTCCCCGCGCTAGCTGATGGGCTGTGGTAAAGGATGAAAAGGCAGCGATGTGGGCTGTTGTGTAAAAAGCGGGTAACACTTCAAAAGGCACATCAAGGGCACCCAATGCAATTTCGAATTCATGGCAGCGAAAAATAAATAGTCTGGATGAGGAAGTCTGTCTGATGTTGACATTTACTGCCTTTTCTTTGCACATTTTTGTCATCATTTCATACTTGGAGTTTTTTTTATTGAGCATCATGGAAACAGTGGTGGGCAACTCCACAGGTTTTTTAAGTGTTACAAATAGCCCTCAAAAACAATCTATTTGACGAATCGGTTTTATTTTTGGTACCACCAATAAATAGATAGAGCCTGCGATACGAGACAAGTAACCGTTTTCCATCAGCATCATCGCATTTAAAGGCACCCAAAGCGATTTCGAAATTCAGGACAGCAAAACTGGATTTTCAAAGCGAATTTTCTGGTCATTTTTTAAAAAGTTGAATCAACCCTATCCCATAGCATACTTATATCTGTGAGGCAAAAATGCGATGTCACTGACGGAAAACGGTTGTATGTTTCATATCGAAGGCTGGTTATAGTTACTTATTAGTGGTACCAAAAAATAAAGGGACTCCTCACTTAGCTCGTTTTTGAACAATTTAACACAACTTCAAGCATTAAATTATGACGAAAATGTGGTACGAAATGGCAGCAAATGTCAATATCAGACAGATTTCTTCATGAAGAATATTTTTGTTTTGCGGCTCGAGCTCTGAAATTGCATTGGACACTAGTACCTTCAAACAGGGTTGTTTACCTTTCATCCAGCGGCAACATGAAAGCAATTCAAGGAGCGTAAAAATAACCTCCTTGATGAAAGCGAAATTGTTTTGTATCAATCTTTCACATAGGCCACACGGCACACCACACAACTAAACTTAGATTGTTAACGGAATACGTATATATAGATAAAAAGGCAACTCCGTCCGGTATACATGTCCTTTAAAACTAGCCTACGGCAGCGTAGACCTTTTAGGTGTGGCAGGTGTTTACCATTTTGCATCCAGAACCGTGGACCATATAGGCCACAGCAAGTAAATTTTATGGATGACATCCTCCACAAGTTTACTGCCAACTATATTACAACATCCATTTTGCACTGAAACATAATTTGAAAAAAATAAATAAAAGTACAATCATTGTACAAATGGTTTTGATTCAGTGAGAACATCACATATACACAACCACCATCACATATAAAAGGAATGAAATATATCACTGCATCAAAGTACACATGTAGAAGACAAAACAATAAATCAGAGCCTTGTCTTGTCTTGTTTCCTCTCTTTATATTTATCTCCCACCCACCTTCCTGCATGGCAACAGGCATCTTTGCCCATTTTCGCCATGTTGACCACTGTCATTGGGCAACAAAAACGTTCTACTTCAAATAAAACGTCCCCGCTCTGAAACAATTGGCTTGCATAATTTTAGGTATCCGTATAGCAATATCCCTACAGAATATATTTTTCTCATAAAACGGTGAATAGCTATAACTGAACGTTCTTAACATACGAGGTTTAGCCAAGTATATCCATATCTTTCAGTAATGTCGACATCTATGTAGCCTTCAGAAGCTCATTAAAGAGCGGAAATACTCCAGTGGGGTCCCTATGCTTGATATATATCGCGTCTTACGATTGGTTGGGCCTTGGGGCGTCGGCATCAGTAAAATTCATTATATAGTTATACAGTAGTAGCACAACCCGCAATGTTATATACAGGCGTGCCAGAGTATACAGAGCACTTTTACGGAATACAGTGCAATTTTATGGAATACAGTACAACCGTATTAGTATACAGTGCAATTTTACGGAATACAGTGCAATGGTATTAGTATACAGTGCAATTTTACGGAATACAGTGCAATGGTATTAGTATACAGTGCAATTGCACTGTATACTAGTAAAATTGCACTGTATACTAATTCCATTGCACTGTATTCCGTAAAATTGCACTGTATACTCTGGCACCCCTAGTATATACCTGCCACGATACAACAGGTTTCTTCAGGCTAGCGCTACTCACCATATATACTATTCACCGCGCGGCACACACAGACGCATATCAGACTAACCACCAGAAGTGCGAAGAGGCCCATACATCTGTCTCCTCCAGACATGACCAGAATCCCGCTTCCAAGAAATTCGTGGCCGGGACAATATATATAACATATATTATATGACTCACGGTTTTTTCCTTGGAGGCGAATTTTATACCACATTACGGTTAGGAGAACTACATCATTCTGTGTAAAACCGCGGTTGTACTAGTACTAGCTCGTGGATAAAAAAAAAAAACACTCGGCTTTCTAAGCGATTCCAGTTTATGTAAATTTGGACAATCTTTCTATGATCATTGCCCGCTCGCGTAACGTAAAATTGCCGAGCGCAGTGCCACGTAGCTAGCATCGCCAGTATGGGAGAAGGTTTGACATGTCTAGTACTGCGAAATGTAAAACAAAGCTTAGCAGACAATTTAGGGAATGAACGTGGGTACATTTCGTTAATGTGGATGGGAAAAAAGATTGATATAGAACTAGAGGTGGATCAAATAAAAACCCACTGCGTTTTATGTTTTGATTTTTTTTGCTACCGTTTCAGACAGAGATGGGCCCCATGCTCGTATACAGCGAAGGGGGCCCCACGGCTGCCGAGTCCATAGCGACCGCGCTGACGTATTTTCTCTCGTCAGTCGTATCTATGGGCGGCGGTAATAACTCTGCTCCAACCGCTCCCGGCTGTGCTGGGAGAGAAGCTACTCGACCTCTGCTATACCTCTCTCCATATGGTATACTGAAGACATTTAAACAACAGGACACGATCGGAATTCTGCGAAACCCAGCAGAAACCTTGGGCTTCGCTCACGAGAATCGGTGACATAGGGACCGCGTTGGGAGATTGCGCAAGAACTAAACCGTGCACATCAACTACCAACTACGGGCTTGGATATCGGAAGGGAGCAGTTTTCTTATTACTTCGTCGTTTTAGATGGCTCAAGGTCTCAATCTGGGTGCTGTTTCTCAGGATAGCCTGTGGCTAGTATTACTGTACATAAGCCTTTTTGCACAAACTAAGCCACGAACTGAACAAATTACAGTATTGTTTGTGCACAATGCCCGTAGATGGGTGGCCTGTTTTCGTTTGTTGTGTTCGAATTCACACCGTAACAGACGACAGATAGAGACCTTCTGTTAACAAGGAACACGCGGTCCGTAATTGGGCTAAAATTACATCTTGAAAGTCTATTCGGTAGCTGATGACATGCTGAATCATATCATGGAAAAATAATGAGCAGCAAAATGAGCGCTAATATACGTAGTTGGTGATATTTCAAGTCGAATTATGATGGAACACAGATCAGTACCATGGACAGAGACTGGCACTTACAGTATACCTTAATATTTACCGGTTTCTTAGGCTGTCCCTGCGGCCACATCTTACACCATGTCTTACGTTTTTACGCCTTCTCCATTTCCTTACAGATGGACCTTCCAACATGATACTCGGGAAAAATGTCGAGATCTTTCATTTTTTAATTAAAAAGAAATTATTCACATTTATCTAAAGAGCAACAGCAAAATGTGCCTACAAAAGCCATCTTATCAAAAGCATACATACACTTGTAAACATACATAAAAACAATACATTTGAAACGAACAGAAGAACAGAAATACATAAAAAATATTTTGGGTGAGAAAAATAACGAAAACAAGACAATTGCGAGAGTACTGCTATCAGTAAAACAAATGAAAACTGAGAAAATGTCGAAACTAGCTACACACCTGAAAGCAGTGAGCTCATACTGGCCAGATGTAGAAATGGTTTCCTTCTCCCTCTCCCTCTCTCTCTATTTTTCTTTCACACACACACACACACACACACACACACACACACACACACACACACACACACACACACACACACACACACACACACACACACACACACACACCTTTTTCTTTCATTTGAAGATTACATTGGGTCTTCCATGATGCTTCACCATAATTGAGCGCGAACTCGAATCTTGACTTACATGTCCAGCCAGCGGTCAGAGTGTATTTTAGGAACATTAGCTAATGCGTATCGGCATCCAAACATCGTATTTGGTACTCAAGTAGTATAGATTAAAACTGCGGCTTATTTTTTTAAAAGTATTTTTAGGCCTTTTTATCGGCCTTTCTTTTTTGTACTGGTAGCTTTTGGTATTGCATACTGCATGGTCAATTTGATGCTGTCTTGTCAATTTGATACTGTCTTGTCAATTTGATAGTGTCTTGTCAATTTGATACTGTCTTGCCAATTTGATACTGTCTTGTCAATTTGATACTGTCTTGTCAATTTGATACTGTCTTGCCAATTTGACACTGTCCTGTAGTGTAGCCACCAAAAGATCTGCTTGGAGATTAGTACTCACGTGGATTCTCTTCGTACGCAAACCGACAAGCCTAGACGACATTTTGAACAGGTGTACGATCGTCACTTGTGGTCTAAGGATCTAACAACGGAAATGCGTTATACAAGAAAGAAGTGGGACTTTTTGTCATCCATCTGGTCACTACGAAACGTTACAGTTACACATCTAACGTGACGCCCAGGAGACGTAAACAGTTATGCATCTAGAAAGAAAACTATCGCTCTACGAAACAACGCACATGCAGGCCATAGCTGCAGCATTCAAGTGATCTGAACATGTAGCATGCAAAAAGTTCTAGTTAGTATTTGATTGGAGTAAACAGGACATGAATGAAAAAAAATAATAATAAAAACAAGAGAGTCGAGCTGTAAACAAAGTTTTGATTCTGCTAGAATTTCCTGTGCTCATTCGGGATATTTACTTGACATACGTCCTTTATACATAATAAATGTATTTTAATCCATTTACTCGAATATCAAACTTTACTGCAAACTCTTGTCCGGAGGCTAAGTGCAAGGGTACATACAATCATAACAACATAAAGGGTAAAAAGTGTCCAGTCTATACATCTAACAGGAGGTTTAGTATATTAATAACGCGTCAGGGTATCAAATGATTCCGTTGTAAGTGAGCTCACATCTGTTCCAGCTATTATGTAATATTAAGGGATTTATCGGAAAGGTCCCAACATTGGCAAGTAGCTTTGTTTGGATTTTGTACTGAACAAATCATGGGTTTTCGTATCTTACAGACCATATGTTAGGTATTGCACTGATTATTCTAGTCCCATAGTTATCAGCTATACAGGTACAGTGCGTTATAAACACAAATAAACAAACAAACAAGCAAACGCAGGCACACGCACACACACACACACACACACACACACACACACACACACACACACACACACACACACACACACACACACACACACACACACACACACACACACAAACGCACAATCACACACGGACAGGCACGCGCACACTGACACTCGGAAGTCGGAACACACAAACACACGAACGCGCACAATCACCCTTAATGCCGTTGAATGAATGAAACGGAACGCATGCAGCAATGATCCCGCAAAACAGTACTTGTATTTGTCAATTTGTACGACGCGGTAGACCACAAAATGATTTCCTTATTCTCTTGTACACGTACCACACACACAAACAGCCTTACCCTGAGGCTGTCAGCTCATCTTCAGCCTTCCTTTATGGATATTATTAAGGCGCTCCGCTGGCAAATAGCGGTCCGCAGGATCAACGACGATTCGAGGCCGTCTGGCGTCCAAAAGCGCAGTCTTCCTCTTTCTGTCCCTCTCACACGCGTTACAGAAAAGACAGCGCTAACCCTAGATATTTCTGCTCCAATTCTTTCATCTGAAAAACAATTTTCCCTGTATATATGATCCTATATTGCCGACACCTTAACGCGACCTTTGACCTCCCGGATTTTTTTTCTCGCAAGTTCTCGCGAGATGTGCAACGTGAGTTTGACGCAAAACAATATGGCGGACGTGCAGGTGAAAAGAAATAGTTTGTTTACAAAAGTAGCGTAAAACAACATCTGAACGGCAACGGCCAGTATCTGTGGTGGACTGTAAGGTGCGTGTAGCTCAGGGGGAGAACATGGCGCAAAGTAACCCTAGTCTGTTCCGATGGAGAAGGAGAACAGAGAAGTTTCCGTCCCAGACCCAAACCGGCGATAGTTCTGGCGCTCTTTCTAAACAGGTAAGCCAACTGGCGCTTATGTTTCTCATGATACAAACAAGATTATAGTTTTGTGTATGTGTATATGCTGCAAACGATAAGTAGGCGTGGAAACCAGTTCAGCTTGATCAAGTCCAGGTCCAGATGATTGATCAACAGTTTATTATAAACATAGTAAAAACAGTAGTTCTGTATCATATTTTGGAGAGTGAGATACTGACATACATTTTGTAATATACTTATTTTCAAAGCACAATCGTATTCATGTAGGAAAATCTAGTTTGGTTCAGGGTTATTTTTGTACCTTTTATAAATGGCCAGATTTATACCTAACTTGATGTCTAAATTGAAAATTCATACTATACTATATAGTTATATTTATACAGTAGAGTAGGAATATATTGTAGGCAACTAGGCATATTTAACGTTATAACGTTACAGCAAAAAAGAATCAGATCACAATTTTCAGGTTTCCTGATATAATTAGATGCTTTTATTCCATGTGCAGAGTCTAACAGCAGTGGATGATGTTCAAGACTGGATAAAGGTAATGGCTAAAACTTAATAATACAAGTAATTAACATCATATGAAAATATTTTTTTAAATTCCTAGAACTATCGTAGAGTGGAACGTTTGTGACATTTATCCATTGTCAGTTGAGGTCTGTGGAGCCTCTGACGATCATGATCATGATAATGATCATTCTGGCATACTCAACTTCACCTGAGCAAGGTGAGGATAGTTGTGTTAATTAAGTGCCTTTCCCGAGGACACAAGGTTGGTGACTTGGCGAGATTCAAACCTGGGACATCTTGGTTCTTGGTTGAATGATTTGCCGTTACAATATGCCACACAGCGCCACTAGTTGAGGTGATTTTAAAGAAAAATCAAGTCAATCGAGTCTTTGCTTTCATTGACACTTTACAGAAAGTGCAGAAGGCGTCAGACCGTGCAGCTGTGGCAGCGTTAGGCCCCCGTGCAGCCGGCAGGACCAACGGTTACACAGCAGCACTGGAGACAGTCGACCAGCTCAGGGAACATGACGCTACTTATAATGAAGGTCAGAGATAAAGTCAACTTATGAGTATTAATAACTATTATACATGAGTGGTCTTTTTGTTTTATTCAGGTATAGATTAAAATGTTTTTTCTCAATTTATGGCACATTTCGATTTGGGTGGCATAAACGTAATGCAACGTGGATCATGTATTCTCCATCACCTTCGGTCCCATCTCTCCTGGTTGGCTCTCCCTCTTGCCTTTGGGTGAGCTGACCCTCGGTCGGGTTGGTACCTTTGGTGGTCCGAAATACACCATGTTGTATTCTTTTTTTTAATCATACTAGCTCACATATGATGTTAAAGTGCAAAACGAATCTAAAAATCTTACAGCCCAAGAGCTGCTGAACACGTGGATGACTGAGAAGGTGAACCTGGACTTTGAGGTGGATGATGAGGACTGGTCAGAGGTTCCCTCCGCCAAGGCGACGGCCGGGAACTCACCGGCACACGGCATGCTGGACAGTCTACTGGAGGAGAACTACACCTTCACTGACGATATGACGGACGGGTCGGCATCACAGAGGGCTCGAGGTATTTTGTTACTACAATGTTGAACTTAAGGCCACAGCAAGTAATTTTTATGGATCAGCATAAAATGTACAAAATGTACTTGCTGTAGCCTTATTCCAACACAACGAGTAGAGAGATCTAATTTTCAATGTCCACCATTGCTTTCATCAGGATGATTAATGACCAATCAATTCCGAATGTAAACTTGTGAGAGCTACGGTTACAGACACGTGATCACCTTATTCATACAAGAATTGCTGATGTCACGTATCTGTTAAGTCTCGTGTGAATAAGGTCACGTGTCTGTAACTGTTTGGAAGTGATAAAGGCAACTGTGGTCGTTGAAAACTCTCTGTACTCATGTTGGAATAAAGTTCAACATTTTACTATTATTAGTACCAACACAGATGAACTTTCATCATTATCATCTTTGTTTTTACTTGAGGTCACAGGCTAATGTAAAGGGCATGTCAAAATGGCAAGCAAGGTGGTCTTGTGGTTAGGGTTGTTGACTCAGAATCTGAAGGTTCTGGGTTCAAATCCCTAGCCTGGCACTGCCCAAAATCTCTTAATTCAAACACATAATGACCTAGACTCCCTCCAGCTCATCCTGCCAGCTTGCTACATAATTTATTCCAATACCATTTGGTGACCAGCCCCTGAAGGTCTGTCCTCCCTCCTTGCTACATTGTAGCAGTAAAATGTAATCCAACACCAGTTACCATGGTGACAGCCAATACTGTCCAAGTCATTGACCTTACTTGTTGGGAACACAGGAATAGGAAACGGAGCAAATAAAAGCATTATGTTTTCCTTCTGTGAAGGTAAACATTAAAAAAATGTCCCTTTTTTTATTTCTTTAGATTTCTACAGCCGGATTGAGAATGATGACGATGACTCAGCAGTCCAACAGATCCTGTCAGGAATGATGGACCTGGAGGTGTTGGATGACTCCACACTGAAGGAACTGGAGTCAGCTGAGGACTCCAGACCTAGGAAGGACCCAGTCATGACTATGGAGATGAGACAGAGAAAGGTAAGTAGGAATGTGATGTATATATATATATATATGTCACAGTCAGAAAAATGGACATGTTCGCAGAACTTTATGTTCCCAGTGGCGGGAGGTGCAAAAAAGTTTATATCACTTCAAGGCATTTCATGTTACTTGGTTTTGTAACAGTTGTTTTTCATGCTTCTTCTCATTAATGTACAGGACACGTGTTTATGTCAAAGTCCAGTACGCTACTGTATCCTTTCAGGATTGCATCTATTTCTTCATAATTTAATTCTAAATTTTGTCTCCTTATACCTTGAGATTGTTGAGTGAAGTTCCCATTTGTTGGAACAGGTAAAGGAGGCCAGGGATCGAAGACAGAGAGAGCTGGAACAAAAGAGAAGAGAGAAACAAAGGAAAAAAGATGCAAAGTTCCAGGTAAAAAATTTTATTTATTAAGAAAATTTATTTCCTGATATTGATAATGGCATGGTGATGTTGTGGTTAGGGTTGTTGACTTGTTGAATCTAAATATAAAGCCCCTACAACTCTATCCTACCACTTGCTACATAATGTAATCCAACACCACATGGTGTCTGCTACAGCACCGGTTACCATGGTGATGGCAATGTGGTGCATGTCAATGATCTATTTGTTTGGAGAAAGAAGAAATGGAGCAAAAACAATATGTTAACTTTCTATGACAGTAAACAAAAAATCTGTATTGTTTTTGCTACAAACAGCCTCAAATGTGACATTTATTGTTGTTGTTGTTGTTTAGGCTGCCCAGATGGTGCTGCGTGAGGAACGTGAGAAGGCCCTGCGTGCCAAGCGTGAGGAGGAGGAGATCCAGCACATCATGGCCCACATGAGGAAGGAGATGTACGAACAACAGAGACTGGAGATGGAGGCCAGGGAAAAGTCAGTATCACTCAGATTGGGGGGACATCTACATTGTGTAGTTGATGATGACTGTTTTGTAGGACTGATGATGATGGCATGTTTTATAGGACTGACGATGATGATGTGTTTTGTAGGACTGATGATGATGTGTTTTGTAGGACTGATGATGATGATGTGTTTTGTAGGACTGATGATGATGATATGTTTTGTAGGACTGATGATGATATGTTTTGTAGGACTGATGATGTGTTTTGTAGGACTGATTAACTTGTTTTGTAGGACTGATGATGATGACTGATGATGATGATGTGTTTTGTAGGACTGATGATGATGATATGTTTTGTAGGACTGATGATGATATGTTTTGTAGGACTGATGATGTGTTTTGTAGGACTGATTAACTTGTTTTGTAGGACTGATGATGATGACTGATGATGATGATGTGTTTTGCAGGATGGATGACGATGATGTGTTTTGTAGGACTGATGATGATGACTGATGATGATGATGTGTTTTGCAGGATGAATGACGATGATGTGTTTTGTAGGACTGATGATGATGACTGATGATGATGATGATGTGTTTTGTAGGGAGAGACAGATGAGAGAGGCTGAGGAGGCCCGACTGTTGGAGCAGCGGCAGAGACAGCGGGAGGACCTGGACTCTGAATACCTCCGGCACTGGCAGAAGGAAGAGGAGGAACGACTGAGACAGCTGAGCAAAAACGCTGAGGTGGAGACTTTAAGGAGGAGACACAACCTCAGGGTAAACTTTCTCTTCCTAGTTTTCATCATTCATGGCTCAAGATACTAAATATTTCTGCATACCTGCACTGGTGCAGAACACATTGAAAATTACCTGCACCAGACAAGTTTTACTTATCAGAATTTAGAAACATTATTTATTTTTCAAGTCATAGGTGGCAAAAGTCAATGCAGCAAATAAAGATCCACATACACCTACATTTTTGTGTAAACTCAGCACTCAGCATTTGGGAAAGTGTAAGAGAGTTTGGCACACACCACTACTTGTCTGCCAGTGAACTAGCTCCCTGCTGTAACTGTATGGCCCAAGGGCTATTGAAATATAGATTGGTACTGCACTATGCGCCAGTGAGTGTAGGAATGACTTAAACTTAGATATTTTCTTTTGCTATAATTTTGTTTTTAATTATTCAATTATTGTTTAACATGTTCAAATAATTTTATATAATTTAATAATTATAATTTGTTATCATTTTCTTGTTATTTGAAGTATTTCAGTTAATTTGTGGTTATTATTTGTTGTGCTTAAAGGAGGAGGGCTTGTATAAGCCTAATAGGCTTCCTCCCTTCTCCTGCACAGAGTTTTTATTCAATTTACTCCTGACCACTTTGTATTTTGTATCTTCGTTCGACAATAGATAACAAAATTAATTATTAATAGATGAAAATTAAGTAAATCTAAGATGTATGCTGATTTTCTTCCCCAGTGTTTACAAAGGCACTTCTCGGCCTGGTATCGGCTGATTGTGGCCAGAAGAGTCCAGTACGGCAAGGCCAGAGCCATGGCTGACTGGAAGTCAACACTGCGAGCCTGGAATGCCTGGAGAACATACGTACTGTCCAGGAAAACTGACAAGGAAACGAGGAAATATCAACGGGACCTCATAGACATGCAAAGGTGAGTCAAAACATATTAAGTTCTTGTACACCTAAGCTCTATCCTTTGTCATATTAAGTAGAGTGGATACATTCCTCAAGCTCACCGAAATCTAACACACCACAGTCATCACTCAGTAAGACATCTGGAGTTGCATAGTTCCCGTGTAGAACTTTTATTCAGCCTGTCAGCATAGCTACATGTGTATCATTTGTCATTGTGGTGTCTAGGCTAGTGGACGCGAGATTGAGAAGTCGCAGGTTCGATCCCTGGCATTCCTGACTAGATGTTGTGTCCTTCGGAAAGATACATACATGTAACATGACTTTCCTCACTCCACCTAGGTGTAAAATGTGTACCTAACTCCTGCTGTGTATCCTTATGTAAACACATTCAAGTACACATGTACATGTATATGGTAACCAGCCCCTCCAACTCTGTCTTGTTAATTGCTACATAGTGTAATCCCACACCAACGGGTACCTGCTACAGCACCAGTTACCATGGTTACAGCCATCTGGTTCAGGTCGTTGACCTTATTTGTTTGGAATGCAGGAAGGTGAAGAAGAAAAAACAGAGCAAAGACACAATGCCAAAATGTGAAGGTAAACATAGAAAATGCCACACACATCTGAAGTTTTACAGTGCTGTGTGTTGATGCTGTTGCAGGAAGCAGCAGGCTGCTGTGGACCATGACAGGAGACGTGTGCTGCAGCGCTGTCTGCAGGCCTGGGTGCTGTACGTCCACTGGGAACAGGACAGGAAGGAGCTGTACAGGAAACAGGAGGAGACAAGGTCAACAAAGCACACACATAGATAGCCCTTGTACACAGACAGAAGTGACTGTAATAAATTTGGGCCCTCTAGCTTCTTCTCTTGGAATTGCAGGAGTTTTTCAGTTGCAGGCTTTGTACTTTGTACATCAGAACTATGTAATAGTATGTAAACTATGCAAATTAGGACTTCATTAGCATGATTGCTTAAGGAAAATTTATATTTAAATTGTGCTAAATGACAGAATTTTCATACTCATTAAAGCGTGGTTTGAAAGGAACATTAATAGATATAAGTAGTACAAATCATTGAAAGTTCATCCGTGTTGGTGGAAGTCATTATGAAATACTTTTGAACTGTACTGTAGAACACAAGAATTGGACTAACCCAAATGTACTGTACAACTCCAGTCTTTGTCAAGGAAGGAGCAATCCATAGTTAAATGATATGATGTCACAGAGGCAGGGATTGACCATTCTTGACAAAGACAAAGTCAAATTCATTGATGAATGTCTGCCAGTTTTCCTGTCCCAACTGTTGCCCTGTTGCCATCAGGAGTAAGATGTCAGCCCTGCTGGAGGCTGCAGCCTCAGGGAAGCTGTGGTCAGCCAGGGGTGATGATGATGATGATGATGATGATGGGGGCAGCACCAGTGGGAGAGGTGGGGTCCGGTCGGACAGGGTGGACAATGGACAGAGAAGAGTGGTGAGTAGAGAGAATAGTTTATTCGCAACCTTTAAAAAATACATATAGCGGCGAGATGCAGTACTCCAGTCAGAAGCTCTGAAGAAGGTGTCTGACAGACACCGAAACGTCAGCGAGGTGAGACTCTTTGGTTGTGTAAAAAGAATTCCCCTATCTCTTTAAAAAATACACTTCAAACAGTTCACAGCTGTCACACATAGGCAGCTCTTTCGATTTAGCTGAATTGGGTGTGACATAACATAGAAGCAACTAGTTATACATTACAACAATAAAATCATCTTAAAAATGAGGTAAAAACTGTATATTTTTATAAGACTCTTGTTAAAAATTACATTGTGGCAAAAGACTTAATTCACCATAATTATACCCAGTCATATTACATACATATCAATTTATCAAGATACTGTCATGTTCTTTAATTTCTTTTAACTGAGAACTGAACCACTCCTGAGTACTCCTGGAATGTTAGCTCGAATGTTTATGTTCTTAGAAGTCATAATGTGAGAAACAAGTGTGAACCGTGATTTCCAACACAAGAATTGGACTAATAATATATTTGCCCAATTTTTTGACTGTACAACTCCAGTCTTTGTCAAGGAATGAGCAATTCACTGCTTTTGTTACATCATGTTGACTCGATTGCAAACTTTTTGTGGCTTTTAACCGGTATTGTATACAACAACGTTTAGTTTTATCTTATACTGTTTGATAATTTTCAACAAACCCATGCATCTCATATACATGTAGTACTGGGATGAGCTTGGTTGTCTGCCATAGGATTTTTAGAATTTTCTCCCTGTCTCTTCATGCTTTTTTCTGAAAAAAAAATCCAAGAATCCACAAATAAAATTGGTGCAGCCTTATATGTCATCTTATGTATTACAGGATGAACTGTTTGAAGAACCTGTAAAGAGACAAGCGTCGGCACCACTTGTTCGCACAGACAGAAGCGACCCCACGTCGACAAGGTCAGAGAAGGACAGAGGCAAGCACGCCAGGAGACTGGTCAAACCTACCGAGCCATGGCAGGTCTGGAATTATTTATTATTTCTGTTTTGTATTTATACAGGGTGAATACAACTCAGTGTTAAGCACATTGCTTTTCAGGCATGCCCTGTAACAAGTGGGACGTGAAACAGACCGTCGTTACAGACGGCCATAACTTCTTTGTAGAATTAACATGCAAAGGATTGTAAGTTTGTCATGAGTTTTAGAATGGACAGTTGAATACAGGTTATCAGTCAGAACAGAGGTGTCCTATCTTTATCGATGTGTAACAGTCGTAAGGTCATAGTAGAATTAACATACTTAACGTTCTGACGACTGACTGTTCGACATTTGGACACCCTATTCTGTTCCAGAGTTTTTTAATTAAGGCCACACCAATTTAATTTGTTGGTTCTCGGATTCGCCTCTTCATTTTTTCCTGATTTGCAAAAAAAATAAAATTTCAGAATCAACTGCAAAATGCTCATATTTTGCCCTGAACAGTTGAAAACAGTCCTTTTCTTCCTAGTCGTTACAGTTATTCCATCTTTCAATGCAGTGGTATCATTAGAAGTTCAAAATTCATTGTTTAAATTTTGAACCAGCCTTTTGTGTTCATACCTCCTATCGTAGCATTTGGGGCTATAATAGGATGCCTAGATCTATTTTTATTTTTTTTCGCCCTGTCGCTTCATATTTTTCCTGAAAAAATCCGAGAACCAACAAATTAAATTGGTGTGGCCTAAGTCAGTAACTGTTGGACCCAGGGTATTGGTGTAAACAGACCTGTTCCTTGATATGTCAGCGAAAGTTAGATACCCAGGTACGGTAATAAGATACACCAAAAAACAGTTACAATTGAAAGTTCCTCCTAGAATTTACATATTTAACAGACGGATCCCATTCCAGAGTTTTTTAATAAAGTCAGTTGAACCCAGGTTATCGATATAAACAGATGTGACTCTTCTTTATCCCTGCAACAGGTGAACAAGAAACACCTGGGCCTCAGTAACAACACCTTAGCTCACCTGACTCAGTCAGAGACAACCAATCAGGACAACAACAGACAGGAGAAGGAGAAGCTGACCCAGCAGAAGAAACCATACATCCCCAACACTTACGAACATCGCTACACACACCAACAACAGGCACTGGAGGAACAGAAAAGGCAAATCATTTTATTATGTTTACCGAAGAAAAGCATATTGTTTTTGTTCAGTTTCTTCTTCTTGTTCCGTTTCAAACACTATAATGTCAATGACCAAGACCAGATGTCTCTCACCATGGTAACTGGTGTTGGGTTACATCATGTTGCAAGTGCCATGCAGAACTTCATACTTCAAGAGGGCCTGCATTGTCACCCAGTGGTCGAAATACTTTTTTTCAGCGCTCTGCAATATTGCAGAAGAGTCAAAATTTTGTTCTGCAATTTGGAAATACTTTCTGCAAATACACAAGCCTCCATACTACAATCTTGCAGGTTTATAAGCATGAACTATTGATTAATATGCAAATTAGTGAAGACAAATGTTTGGAAGTCCAAAAGAAACAAAAGATAGACAAGTCAAGACAAGGTTGATGCAAATTAGTGAAGAAGCTCCTGTTGTTTCAGAATAGGAGCTTCAGTGTTGTCTGTCCTTGGGGCCAAGAGCGCCAAATCCCAAGTGCCAATTTTTCCTTCTGCAAAATTGCAGATTGTATAAATTTTTCTTCTGCAATCTTGAAAATCTATCTGCAGATTGCAGACTGCAGACAGGTATTTCGAACACTGTCACCATATATGTGTGTTTAAGTAAGAATAAAGAACAAAGTAATAGTTTGTTAAGCTAGGCCATATGAAGGTAAACAAAATGCATTTGCTTTGCAAATGTTACCTTTAGTTATTGTTTAAAGTTAGTAATACTAGTTTTATTTGTTGGCTTGGCTGTATCTGTAAAGCCGGTATAACCACCTTTCAACGTAACACACCAGCTTCGCAGGCACGCAGTGTGGCGGCAGCTGGCTACATTACACCGATCGACTTGTTGTAACCCTTGAACATCTAACTCAACTCTAGGCATTGTTTAAAGCTATCTAATGACAATGCCAGTACTGTACTTGGTGACAACGAGTTCCACTCTGCGATAGTTCTAGGAAAGAATGAATTCTTGAACACCTCAATCCTTGGTTGATAACTCTGGTACTTGAAGGCATGGCTATTTCTTGTTCTCTTCTGGGCTGGTATTAGGTACTTAGTAATTGGGATGTCCACCAATTTATTAGTCACTTTGTATATCATGCATAGTCTGGACATTTTTCTTCTGTCTTCCAGTGACACCCACTGTGGGTTACTTTTTATTTCCGTGACACAAGCACCTCTTTCAAAGTTGTTCATACAGAAGTCCTTCCTTTTAAAGGCAAATCAAGGAGCAGAAGAGACTGATAGAGGAGCTCCAGGAGCAGCAGAGACTCATCATGTGTCAGCAGGACATGCAGAAGGCAACCGCCGCCAGGGAAGCCATCGAGGAGGCCATCGCAGGTCAAGGGTCAAAGGGCAGGAGGGCCGGGTCGAGACCAGACTCGGCTCGGAGCGACAGTACGGATGCCTCGTCTGCGATGTAAGTGGTATTTGTGATAATGGTTAATTCTGAAGTATCATCCCTAAAACAAAATACAGCATTGCAAGCAAGCATTGTTTACCTGTTTAGCTGAATTGTATGCACTGTATTGTACATCGTATTAAATAAAAAAGTGTTGTTATTTGATATATAAAATAATGACTATCATTACTGTTATATGGGCATTCATTTTCAACTATTTTGGACGATTTTATTTTTTATTGTATGTTCATAAGGCCATGTTGATTTGATTATATGGATGACATCCTCCGGGAGCCCCAAAACTGATGCGCGCGTGCGAATAAAAAAAAAGTTTTGCAAAAAAAAAAAGTTCTTTTCATTATGAAATCTACGTGGTCATGAGGGTTGAGCAAATGGCACAGAATATGGTTTGGCGAATAATCTAGTCTTCAAATTCATTTCTTTACAATTTCGTCTTTTTTCGTTTGATTTTGGCATTATACGACATTGGTATAGTTTTTATTAATTTTTTTTTGTAACTTATGGTATATTTTGGCTCATTTTGCAACTGTTTTGTACGATTTACAGTATGGTTGAAAACTTTTTTTTTTTGGAAACGGCCGAAAATTCATGCGTGCACGGATGTCATCCATATAATCAAATCAACATGGCCTAATGTACAAAGTGGACATAGAGAGAAGGTGATGCAAAAACAGTCATTTTTAGTAAACATATCTAGATGATGTTGCCATATGGAACTAAATGCTTCTCCACATAAAACACATGAACTGCCCTCTCCTATTTAGTATAAGTCATTTATATTGACTGTGATAGTAATACATCTATCACTGTCATATGCTCTAGTTCCTTGTAAATGAAACAGTATATTCTGTTACATGTACATGTATACAAAAGACGAGCTATGTTTATGGGTTCACCACACCACGAAGTGGTGGTGAACCCATATTGCTTTTTCTGATGTTTCTTCTTCTTCTCCTGCCATTTTTAAATGGATTCAGCTTCTTCATTTTAGGGCCTAAGGTCCTGAAATTTGGTATGGAGGTACAGTGGGCAAATACCCCTAGGCGTTTTTTAAATTTTTGTGATACAGGCTTTTAGAATGGTTTTATTTGAGTTTTTTGGCTGTGTTATAGCAAATGTATTACTGTGTTAGTGTGCCGTGTTTACCACGTCTGGGCATGAGTCATCACAATGGAATGCAGGGCATCAACCAATAGGCATGCAGCTTTCCTCTATACTTCTTGCTGATTGGCTGTTGGGATTTAACTTGATTAACACCTGCACAGAGCATTTCCACCTGCACAGAGCATTTTTTGCTGATTGGCTGTTGGGATTTAACTTGATTAACACCTGCACAGAGCATTTCCATACTGACAGTATGTCTTTATTCAAGTGTTTTGGTAGGTATTTCAAGCTTTTCTGCTCCAGCATTGGAATGCGGGGCATGAACGTTTTTTTTTTATTTTGAAAATCAACAGTTTGCATTATGCAATTAAAAATCCTAACCAATAAAGTAGGGAATAGCTATCCAACTGTTGTTTTAGTTGTATGTTACTTCATATTATCGTTATATCAATGTAAATCATTGTTTTCCCTTGTGTTTCTCATTCATTCCCTGCCATGTCGTAAATGTGGTGAACCCATCGCTGTATTCGCTCCAAAGCAAATATTGGCCTTTCTAGTTTTAGAAGTGGATTTTTATACATAATATACATGATGTACTTTCCAGGTCCCAGACAGACACATGTGTGTCAGGTCCTTCTACAGCGGTGTCCAGAAACTCTTCCTCAAAGACCAGGAACAAAGCTCCGAGGGAGGCAGACCCTATTGTGAAGAGTAAGTTTTGACTCTCTGATATGTAGTTCATGAGATCAGAGATTGTATATTATTTGATGATACTTGATAGATACAATGTCATGTAAATGTGTGATGTCCAATGGCTGAGTGTCTATGTGGACACGAGATTGAGGTCACAGGTTTGATCGACTGCAGTTGTGGCAAGACTGTTATCCTTATTTCTTATTACAGGACTTTCCTCACTCCACCCAGTTGTAAGATGGGTACCTGACTTTGTTTAGGGAGGTATAAGGTGGTAGGAGGAGAAGGATGGGCTCTGCCTTCCAATACAGTGTCCTAGACACATGCAGTGGATAATAATGTACTGCCCATATGGCCTGAAAAAAGGCTATGAGACTACCTTACTATTACACAGTTATGGATAAATCAAACTGTGAGCATGGTAGGTGATCTTGAAACTAAAAGTTTTACAAGTGCCCGGTAAACGGAAATGCTTAGTTAAGTGTCATTGACTACCAATTTCTCCTGCTTTGAATAAGATATGCAATGTACCATTAATGACGAAAACCTTCTACCTCACACAGAAATGGAAGAACGTGCAGCTGAGCGGGAGGAGAAGAAACGTCGGATTGAGGAGAGGAAGAAGAAGAAGGAGGAGGAGAGAGTTCTCCGTCTGCAGGAGGAGGAGGAGGCCAGGAGACAGGCGGAGGAGGAGGAGAAACGGGCGCGGCTGGAGAGGGTCAGGGAGGAGAAGAGGCTGATCAGACAGGTGGGAATTAACTGTCCATCACAATTAGCTGTTCAGCCAATCGTAGCATGGCAGTTAGTGGTTCAACCAATGAGAGAGGTGCATCACTATTAACAGTTCAACCAATGATAGCATGGCACTTACTGGTTCAACCAATGATAACATGATTGCAGTTACTTGTTCAGCCAATGAGAGCAGTGGGAACAGGCCCATCACAACTGTCTATCACAATTAGCCATTCAATCAATGATAGCACGGCAGTTAGTGGTACAACCAATGACAAAAGTGGGAGTGGTCCCAGCCTAACTGTTCATCACAACTAGCAACTATGGAGAGAGTGGCTGCATATGTCCATCTGTGTTTTCATGCTTCAAAAAGGCTATGGGACTTTAACCTTTTTTTTGAGGGCAGTTTTGTGTGTATTTTCTGTCAGCGTGAACTGGAGAAGCAGGAGAGGTTGGAGCGACAGGCAGAGCTGAACACCAGGGCAGATGAACACTACAGGAACAGTCTACTCAGGAACAGGGGGTGGGCAGCATGGAGGAAACTGGTCAACCAGTCTCGCCACAACATGCAGGTATTCATCAGCTTTTAGAATTGTGTGTCACATCTGTATCTGTTTGTTGTTATTGTTGTTATGTTTACCTTTGCAGAAGGAGAACGTACTGTTTTTGGTCCGTTCCTTCTTCCTCTTCTGTTCCAAACAAATACGGTCAATGAGCTGGACCAGATGGCTGTCACCATGGTAACTGGTGCTCTAGCAGACCCTGTGGTTTTGGATGCAATTAAGTGGCAGGAGTTAGAGGGACTGGTTACCATATACATGTACATCTGTATGAATGTGTTTGAGTAGCAAAGAAAAGAATAGGAGTCCTTACCAATATGAGTGGATCAAAACCTTACAGAGCTACGGCTGTACATGTACCTGGGGTCGCATTACGATCACCTTTACATGTAGTTGGCGCCGAAGGGCAGCCACTCCAATCCCTTGCATTTCAACCCTACCTATCTTAAGCTCCTTGGAATTCAGCACTTGGATGCAAATGAAATAAGAGAGACTAGCCAGCCAACCCAACAATAAATAAGATACTAGTAGTGTGATAGACAGCTAGTTTTGTTGCTGCTCTTGTTCACAGTTTCTTGGGTCCCTATCGCCTCTAGAACTGTATTTTATTTCTGTGCCTGAATGTGTTGAGGTTAGGCATGGCTTTTGATAGTTCTCTGGGTTAAGATCCAAGAATTTTTTCCCCCAGGCTCAGTTCTGGATATGCATGGACTATCCAGAACCGTACATGTACCTGATCGTGGTTCTGGATGAAGCGTGGTTCTGGATACAACAGTCTCTGCCCGTGTCTTACAGGTTGCTGTTGCCCACCATACTGAAGAGCTGCTGAGACGTTGCCTGGTGCCGTGGTATGACCACACACAGGAGGTCCTGCAGCACAAGGCAGACATGGCCACAGAGTTCTGTAACTTCATCACTGTCAGGAGGTGTTTCAGGTCATGGAGGAGGGTGAGACTCAGATTACACTAACTTAAGTTACTGTAATTTAGGCAACAAAATATGATATTACAACCAAAAGGTCTTTTATTCCCTTATTCAACAGCAATACCTGTCCTTGTATGTGTTTTATATTTCGATTAACTAGAACACTTTTAGAAAAGAGCTTGTCATACCTTGGACTGACAACACATGTTACTCAAGTTTAATGGATCTCTGATGGTCTCTGAACCAATAGACATTTACGAGTATATATATTTGCCCATTTTTGGCATATTAACCACGGAATTTGTTACATTTAATACTATAGATGATTTTCGCTTTCATTCTAGAAGGTAATAACCCTTACTGTGTACAAATACATTGCAGGTGAATATATCAAAGAATGTTTAGACCTTATAACAAGTAGTAGAAGTTGATTCAACTATAGTCTACACTCTATAGTGTTGTACCCACATGTCTGCTTGTATAACTAGTTATAGACCTTACAAAGTCACTGTCCTTTTGTTGTGTCAATAAAAATCTAAAAATGTTGTTGTGCCCACCCAGTATGGGCAGCACCAGTCTATCCTGGAGGCACGAGCAGAGAGACATCGGCAGCTGAGGATGAGAGAGAAGTGTTTCCGTGTGTGGATGGACTACGCCATGGACGAGAGAATGGCAGGGATAGAAAAGGACAGGATGGCCGCGGAGCATAACATCATGTGAGTGGCAATTTTCTACATGTTAAAACAACAATTATGTAACATAAGGACAATACAAAAAGTCAGTTTTCTGGTCATTTCTTTTACAAAGTAATTCAAATGAAACCTGTCCCATTACTCTTTTTTTAAATGTATAGATTGGTCTATGTGTACATGTAGTTGATTGAATGTCTATGTTTCTTGTCTGTACACTATAGGAATATTCTTGGAATGAAGAGATTCATTCATTCATTTATTCATCCATTCATTCATTCCTGAAATAAAGAGATTCTGTTCATTCATTCATTCATTCTTTCATTTGTTCATTCCCGAAATAAAGACATTTGTTCATTGAGTTATTCATTCATTCATTCCCGAAATAAGGACATTCATTCATTCATTCATTACATAGTGCCATTCTCCCAGTAAAAGTAGTAAAATATAACGCTGTACTAGCCTGTTAGAAATCCGGAAACTTGTCAAATCTTTGTTTGACATTCTTGCTGTATGTATTTTGTTGTGGTTGTATACTTGTGTTATTGCCGCTAAGACTTCACCTGTGTCACAAACAGGTCACATTATGATTTTACTGCATTACTGTAAATCTTTAACTACGTTGTATTCACAGTGGTTTCATTTCCAGTATCGCAGAATTGAACCCACACAAAAATGAGTGAATTCACAGTAACACAGCCCTTGTTTCCCACCCCATCCCCAGACGTCTGCAGAGAAAAGCATTCCGTGCGTGGCAGCAGCTGCCTGTACTGGCCAGGAAGGAGCGTGAGAGGGAGAGGAGAAGGACAGAGATGAGGAAGAAGGTGGCCAACATCCTCCCCGACTTCCAGGGACTACAGCTGGCTGAGGACAAGGAGGACTTCACCTGCTCTCTGGGCAACATCAAGATGAAACTGTGATCGGGAAACTGGAGGCACTTCCTAAAGCAACATCTTCCAAAGAACACTGGATACACTCATGAAAGTTCATCTGTGTTGGTAGTTGCATGTTTAGAGTTAAAACTTTAGATCCAACACAAAAATTCTCTCACCTAGGGGTGAAGGAGGCTATATACATCAGGACCCTTCACTGAACTGCGACGAGGGCTGACATTGTCTACCAGATACCTTTGACCCAGTGTAGACGTCACACTTCAAAGAAGCCACGTGACAAGCCTCACTGGGTCAGTCTACTGAGGAAGACCAGAGTGACTGGTCGAAAGCTCTGGATGTGAGAAAATTTTTGTGTTGGATCAAAAGTTTAAACTCTAAACAACACTAAATACAGATGATCAATTTTCAACAGTCACATCTTTTCGTTCCATCTATATGTGGAAATGTCGAATATTTGAATTTTCTATAAATTGATGAATGTTACTAAGTAGTTAGGATGAAACATACACCTGTTTTGTTATGCTGTGAGTTGATACAATCAAGGAGGTTCCATTTTGAACCTCCTTGATACAACCCTCCATTTTTTTGCAAATGCTGCTCCTTTTAATTTTTCATTGTTTTGATGTTGTATAGGAAATTCCTGTCTTGAGCAAAACTATGTAAAATATTTTTACCTGAAGAGTGACAAAGTTGTAAATACATGGTAGACTGTGTACAATGTACTAGTAGCATTGTGCCTTATTACTAATAGCTATAGTGTAGAAATGCCATTGACAGGCACTTAGATAGAATTACAAAATGGAATTACATGTTGTATGTTTGTTGAACAAACATACGACTATGTTAGTAGAAAGTTGAAATGATTTATATGAATTCTTTGAAGTCTTCAAACCAATTGACAGAGGGACAGTTGTTCTAAACTATTTTAAAAGTTGTTTTAAACTATTTTTAAATTTGAAAAAAGTTTCAGTTCAGCTGTTTTTGGTTTGTGTTTACATTCCCTATTGTTGTGCGTAGGAATGTTCTTGCAATTGTGTTCCTTTCTGGATTCATTACAAGGTTCAAGTCCTTGAAAAAGTCTCTTTTATCATTGTCTGTTGTATCATAGTTAGAATGGTTTGTTTGAGCAGGAAAGACTCGGAGCAAAACCATCTTATTTCCTATATAAAGTCACAAAATACCAATGTGAGGCTTCCTTTGGGAGATACTTTTACAATTACAGAAAAATTAAATTTTTTGCATTTTTTTGCCTCCTTGTTTTCAGAGTGCCGGTACATTCTTTATAGCCTCTATTCTATTCCTATTCTCAAGTTATACTTCAGTATTAAAGTGATTTTACCATCAGCTGATCCATTGCAGCAGTGATTAAAGTCTTTGCAGAAGTGAAGTTATTGCTGTACATGTCCGATACATTAGGTAATGATTTGAAACCAAGCAGATGTTAGGAGGGAAGATTGCATAGATTTAATAAGGGATCACCACCGTAAGCACGCTGGCTTCTTCTTCCGTATATAACTATTGTTATTTCCTTTGCAGCTCATTTTTATGAAACATGACGGAGCCATGGAGTAAATATAGTGGAGTAAATTTTGTTACACAATCGTGCATTCTATGATGTACGGTGTGTACTTGTAATTACACTAAGGAATTCAAAGATGAATTTTTAGATTATGACCTTATATAAAGGTCTAGACTATTAAGAGCTTTTGAGCATCTTTGTGAAAGTTTTCTCTGTTACAGGAATTCGAAGGCTTATTTGTTCGCCTAATGATTAAAGTAGTAATTAGTATTCGGATAAACATTTTCATTATATTATTTACTGGTACTTTCTAATTAATCAATTGTGAGTGGCCATGAGTGACCATGAGTCTACAAAGTATATGATGTGTTTCTTTCAGGACTTCCTTGCATGGGGCATTTTTCATGATTTATAACGTCCGTGCGACTTAAAAAAGGAAAACAGAAAACTATTTTTGCGAGTATATTGATATATCATTTCAATGTCAACATCCACTGAATGAAACAGCAGGTAATATTTGACCCACGTCTTGAGAGTACTTCCGGTTCACGGTGTCGCTCCTTCCTGTCCGAGGACCGGAGGTGTGAGGAGCGGATTTCGAAGCGTCTCTCGACTTTTCGTACGATTCAACAGGTTTAGAGGCTCGACAGGCGATTGTGCGTGAGGGGACTTTGAGGTAAGGATGGCGTTGTGTATCAGGACTTAAATAGCCACAGATTAGGAATATATGGCCATATATGTTGAGTCCAGTGTGGATTTTATTCATAACGGACAGCATCTAAGGCAGGCTCTTTGTTTCTGTGCCATGAGTAAACATCAAAATTGTATCAAAGTAAGGAGGAGATAAGCAAATTATCACCAATCATTTACGTCCAGAAGACGACGATCGTCAATATTAAATATTAAAGAAAACAGAGTTGGCGCCCTCTCCGGTTTGTTTGCAACACTTGGTAGGAAAAGGGTCATCAAGGGGTTAGACGGATCTTGTTTAGCTTTGGTACAACAGAAAGTCGCCACGTCGACTTTTATTTTACAGTGAAGGATGATAGGACTTATTGGTCCCTTATTGGTCTGAACGAGTAGCAATGCTGGTTTGATGTACAACCGTTGATGTGTAACGTAAATGGTGTAAAGTAAAACCCTCTCTCCGCCTCGGTCCAAGATTTTCCCGCCTTCAGAGTCTGACATCTGGATTCATTTATGAGAAGGGGAGGTTCACTAATGCCTGTGTTTGTCAATGGTAGTATGATAACTATACTATAACGTATATCATGGAGTTAAGATCACGCAGAAATGATGTTCAATTCCAGTCATACTTCGAACTAGAGGTCGGAGATCTCATGTCTTCGTCAGAGGTACATCGTTCTAGAGAAATTAACATGCGTATTCTTCACTCTTTTTAATAATCAATTTGGTCTAAAGAACAAAAGAATCTCTGTACTATTTTTATGGTACAGAACACCCTGAAACGGTTTGCCGCAGATTATACAGATGCGTCGTCACCCGTGTTAGCCCCCCCTCCACGTTATTTGAGTTTGGACTGTTACTGGAAAAAAAAACGTTCAAGAAATTCTTACTGTGTTGAAAGTGTCACGACAGCGCCGCAAAATATAATAAGATGTTATAAAGGAAAGAATCAGAACAGGGTGACTACGTACTGCTGTTTTGTTAATTTGTCTTTATGACAAATAGAAGACTTGTTTCTTGTGTTCTTTGTGTCCTAACATTTGTATTTCTACAGTTAGTATATTCCAAATCTAGGCATCTCGTTTTTCGGCAATTCGTGTTTTTATTGCGCGCTTGCCTTAAATTTAAGGTACTAGTAATTAGATTTAAGATCTCCAGTGGACGTCATCCATAGTAATTACTTGGTGTGGCCATAGAAAATAACCTGACACATGTCCAACCTATCCCCCCCCTGCTGAAGTCATTATTGTACAATCCCTCAATGTAACGTCATTTGATCCCATCCCATTATGGGGTTCCCCGGCTATATCCAGCTGTCAGCTGTCTCCAAGCAGATGTAGGTGGGGATTTCTAAACACAAAAGGTCCTATTATGGGGACATAACGACCTCCACGACTCTCATCTTTGAACTCAATCTTGGAGACCACCACAGTAACATGCCTATCAAATTTCATTAACTTGCATCCACACACACAAAAGTTATCCTGCTCACAAGAAAAATTAACAAAATGCCCCCTGTAGTCACAACGAAACCCCCCATGAAGCTCAGTAACGAACTTAACCTTGGTCCCGACAATAGTAAGCACCACACCAAGAATTATAATCAACATTTTACAAATACTTGAGTTATCTTGCTAACAAGCCACAAACACAAAAGGTGCACTAACGTGACGTACGGACCCCCCACGAAGCCGAAACTTGTACTTGACTTCGGCCTCAACAGCGGTAATCTGCCTGCCAAAAATCATGGACGTCAAATCATGCCTTCCAGAGTTATATCGCAAAATCCGCAGTTCCCCACACTCCGGCGAGACAATTTCATAGTCCTTCTGACGAAGACAAATATTTGACAAAATCTGTGAAATGTGTACGAACATGTTTCACTGGACCGAGGACAATCTATCTTGTGATGAAAACGTCTTGATTGGACAGTGATTCGTGTTTTAGTGTGCATACCCAGTGTCAACGATGAAAGCCCCCGAGACGTAAACAGAACGCACGAGATATTGGCATTTCATGTTTTTATTTTGCATTTCTATGTTTTGAGGGGGCTGTGGCATCATCTGACGGAATGTGTTTACCTCTTGGGGGGGGGGGGTGCTTCACTGTACTCTAAGCATTGTGAATTCTTGCTGTACCTCCTCACATGTAATTTGATAGCACACTAGCTAGGGTCACAAAAGTGGCCTGGCAGTCTAGTTAAGCCAGTGTTCAAACAAGTGTTTGACCAGTTCAATTTGAACATTACATTTGAATTCATGCCCTTTTTCATAGCAAATGTCATTGACCTTTGTACAACATGTTGTATTGCACATAACCGGCAGACTGATCATGTGATTGGTAATGATGGGACAAATGAATTTTTATCATTTTTGTCTCTATTATTCAAGACACAGCACAGGTGAGGTTTTTTTCTAATTCCTAATTTGTTAATCTGATGTCACATTCCATTGTACCAGTTATGTTTTCAATAAGTGGTAGTCAACCTCAACAGAGGGTGTCAGACTTAACAATTTTTGCTCTAATCAGCTGTTAGGACTTAACAACTTTGAGACAAGTTCTTACCTTGCAGTTCTTTACAAACACACAGTGTATCTAGTTGTATGCATGTAGTGCATGCAGACCTCCATAACATAATTATGCTAACGGTATTACTTACTAGACCCTTGCTGGACCACATGTACTGATGGTTGTACATCTTGTCATTTCAGTTGTACTGAATACTAGTACAGTAGACATGGCGTCAACAAGCAGCGTGCAGCATTCTGATGATGGCAGGAGGGAATCTGGAGTGGATTCTGCTGACACCGTCATCAACCATAAAGGGAACGGAGGAGGAAAGGGTGGTAAAGAGTCTCACCGAGGTGGAAAAGTACACAAATGTGAGGAGTGTGGCAAGACGTTCAGCAAACTGAGTAATCTGAAGACCCACATGCGGAGCCACACTGGGGAGAAACCTTACCGGTGTGCAGAGTGCAGCAGGCAGTTCAGTCAGCTGAGTCATCTGAAGAGACACATGCGGACTCACACAGGGGAGAAACCCTACAGGTGTGAGGAGTGCAGCAGGCAGTTCAGTCAGCTGGGTCATCTGAAGTCTCACATGAGAACCCACACAGGAGAGAAACCCTACAGGTGTGAAGTGTGCAGTAAACATTTCAGTGATCCAAACTCTCTACAGCGTCACATGCGAACCCACACAGGGGAGAAACCCTACACTTGTGAGGATTGTAGTAAACAGTTCACTACTCTGAGTTCCCTGAAGTCTCACATGAGAACCCATACAGGAGAGAAACCCTACACCTGTGAGGAGTGTAGCAGGAAGTTCAGTGTACAGAGTAATTTGAAAGAACACATGCGAATCCACACTAGAGAGAAACCCTACACATGTGAGGAGTGTAGCAGGCAGTTCAGCAAGCTGGGTAATCTGAAGATCCACATGCGAACCCATACAGGAGAGAAACCCTACACCTGTGAGGAGTGCGAGTGTAACAGGAAGTTCAGCCAGCTGGGTGATCTGAAGAGACACATTAAATCGCATGGGAGAGACCTCAGGAGGTGACAAAAGAAGAGCAGCAGACAGTAATTTGTTTAACTTACGAAGCATATGTGGACCCAGACACTTGGAACTGTACAGGTGTAAGGAGTGCAGAAGGAAGGTTTGGACACCATCGATATCGCAAGACAACTTGGATACTAGTAACTTAAGAAGAGACTCAGGCATAATCACTTGTGTCAATGGAGGAGGCAGCCTTAATCTTTGTGTACTTGACAAAATGGCCATGTTGTAGTAATGTGTGCACTTGCTTTGATGACTCAGATACAGATAGAGAACTTAAGTAATGATGTCATTGACTTCAGCCTGTATCCAAGAAAGCAGTGGTGATTTTTTTTAAAACATATATTAACATATTTAGGTGTTATGTTTCTATCTTGTAGTTGATCACAAGGGCATATTTCTCCGTTTTGAAGCAGTAGGTTGGACGTTGTTTGAAGCAATAGCTTCAATAAAATTCACAAGTAAGCTATAACTTTTCTTGTTTGAAGTCATATAAAGTAGAATGTTGTTCTTGTATTTAGTGCATGATTTCTCTTAGTTTGGATGCCGGACTAACTGTTCAATATGTAGATACACGAAGTTGGATGTAGGTTCTTGGCTTTGATTTGGATGCGATAGGCTGATAGCTATACAATAGTGAAGGCTGTTGTTCTTGTTAGGAGAGAATATATTGTTGTTACTGTTAACTAGAATTTTACCTTGTTCTTATATTGTTCCAACCAGGCCCATCTAATAGATCTTGTTGATTTTCATGTAGGTAGAGGTGTTTTGGTGTATTTACATTTGATTGTTAAAATCTTACGTATTACAGATAAAGTTTCTTTTCTGATTTGCATATGTCATTCAATGTCCTTAAAGCTAAACCAGTTAGTCAGTTAGATAACATGATAATGCAAATCAATTACCTCATTAGATTTTGTATTAATATGATACTTCTCAGTCAGTTACACTTAAAACGGATCATAAGGACGATGTTTCTGGCTGCATTTGTTTTTGGCAGCTCTCATTAGGAAGTATGTTCGATTTGCCTCCTACGTGCCTCCAAACCAAAGGTCAAGCAAATTGATCTTGCACAGGCTTTTCTTACTGCAGCAGTTTATACTTACTACTCCAAGAACCACAAATTGAATATATGCCAAATCTCCTGGCATCCCATGAGTAGGAATACCTAACTAACACACATTACCACCTCACTAATGTGCGGTTGTGGAACTCTTTCATTTTGTACCGGTATCTTTTTTTGCCAGCTAAACAGCAGTGTATTGGATACTACCCAGCCAATTTGATATTGTCTTGTCAATTTGATACTGTCTTGCAGCCACCAAAAAATCTGCTACATGTAGGAAGTATCAGGGCAATACACCACACCACAGAAAGTCTTGTAGAAGCAGACTTTATTATATTTCACTCCATACCATGCAATACAATACAATACAATACAATGCATTACAAATATACTTTTGTGTAAGACAATAAACTGGATAGTGACTGAGTGTTGGTACCAACACATCTGCATAAAACTATGAGTTTGGCTCCTGTACCCAGTAATACTGCGTGTACTGCAACCAAATAACCCGAAATTTGGTACATGTTCCCAATGGTGCCTTGGAAATATGCCCAAATGATTTTTTGGTAGCTTTTAGACCAAAAATGTAACATCTGTGTCCATAATATCACCAGGGTCCATAATATCGCCACCTTGACAAACAGTGTGCTTAAAGATATTTTTACTGCAACATACTTTTGGTATGCACTCCTTCACACATGAAATGTACATACCTTGGGTATGTTGCAGTAAAAATATCTTTAAGCACACTATTTCTCAAGGTGGTGATATTATGGACCCTGGTGATATTATGGACACAGATGTTATATGCAGAGGTGGGGGTCAAAGTAAGAAAATCCCATTTCGGAGTGGGGTAATATTGTGAGTAAAGGTAACTTTGGGATACCACATTCCTGCAAAAGGTTCATATGGAAAAGCCCATGTTGGAATAGGGAGGAAGATGGGGTGAAATATGATGTACCTTGAGCAAATGTTGGCCTTTGTACATGTAGTTCTGAATGGTTTATTTCACATTCACCCATGGTACTACAACACTGGACACTATCAAAACATTTCAAAAACTCAGATTGGATGGGCTATATTTCCTCTCATTTTTGGAATCTCAACTAATAGTTACTTTTTTCTGTCCTGAGGTTGAAAAACAGATATCAAACTTTGTTCAAGATTTCAATAATGTCTTTTCAATGAAAAGTAAACCAGTGCTGATTCTTATTCATTTTGGTTCTAAGCAAGTTGCTAAAAAAATGACAAAGCTAAATACTACTACAAATACTAGAATGCGGTCTTAAAAATGATAAGATGTCTGCATTGATTGACTGAGTAATAAAACTATGGCCACCATTAGTATAGCCCGCTGCAGATAAAAGGATGTAAAGTCTTATAGTATGTGATAAGTATGTCAGCAAACTTTGTGGTGCACATTATTATATCTTCGTGATCCTTCCTATTAGCCATTAACAAAGTTTTGAACTTAATTTGAAGTATAGGACATATAATATTATATACTTGACATCCTTGCTCTTCATTGCATCATAAAAGTAGATTATCATCACTAGTACTGTCATGTGGAGCTTAATAAAAACTGTTATGAAACTCAAATTTAACCAAAGAGGTTATGGTTTCAACTATAAGCTTGATTTAACCTAGCCAGGTTGAAATGCCCCATCTAATGGCTCATCGTGACAGAAAGGTGACACATCATGTGTACCTCACTGCAGTGTGCATCCACTAGCACCCATGTTGCCGTTGACTTCTGATGCTGAGGGACGGTCGTGGTAGTTGTATGCCAACATGCGCAGAATGAGTTGTTTGAGATTGCCGTCTTGCACCTGTCTCATGATGTAAGCTGCCAGGTTGATTCTCGGGTTTTGACGCTGCACGGCGGCCAATGGCTGCCCCTGGATGTGGACAGCTAGAAGGGGCTTACCATCCTGACCACTGTGTAAACATATGTACCAGAAGATTCAAATCCAACAGCCAGATCTGCAAATAGTTTCTACTAGTAAACGTGAACGTTATATCACAAGGCTACAGAGTAGATATCACAAATAATCATTAGCTGATGATGTATCATTATGTAGTGCCTACGATATATACACTTACAAATTATATATATATATATATTATATGCACACTACATGGGTCGGGAGTAGGGAGAATAGGCCACACCAATTTAATTTGTTGGTTCTCGGATTTTTTCAGGAAAAATATGAAGCGACAGGGCGAAAAAAACATAAAAATAAAAACAGATCTAGGCATCCTATTATAGCCCCAAATGCTACGATAGGAGGTATGAAGTCAACACACCAGGCTGGTTCAAAATTTAAACAATGAATTTTGAACTTCTAATGATACCACTGCATTGAAAGATGGAATAACTGTAACAACTAGGAAGAAAAGGACTGTTTTCAACTGTTCAGGGCAAAATATGAGCATTTTGCAGTTGATTCTGAATTTTTTTATTTTTTTTTGCAAATCAGGAAAAAATGAAGAGGCGAATCCGAGAACCAAGAAATTAAATTGGTGTGGCCTAAGAATTTTTAATATGTGTCTTTTTATGTTGTCTGATATGATGGTAACTTGATCTTTGATAATATTGGTGCAAGCTTGTGATAGATCTCCACCTACCGTATGGTTGTACGGTCAAGCATGGCGGCAAACATGGCACCCATTGAGTAGATGTCACACTTCTCGGTGTAGTGACGGTCCCAAATCTCTGGGGCTCCATACCAAACAAATGCCATATCTGTTTGAAGGTAGTACTGGGAGTAGACGTCAAAGCCATTTCCACACACCTGCGTGAGGAAAACAGAAAATTTTTGAAAACCACTAAGTACAACCAAATAAAGGTGACCTTGTATTGAGCATATTCGGTATCATACTTTGTTATGTTTACTAAGGCCATGTTGATTTGATTATATGGATGACATCCTCTGGGAACCCCAAAACTGATGCGAGCGCGCGAATAAAAAAAAGTTTCGCAAAAAAAAAAAGTTGCTTTCATGAAGTCTACGTTGTTATGAAGGTCGAACAAATGACACAGAGTATGGTATGGCGAATAATCTACTCTTTAAATTCATTTCTTTGCATTTTTGTTTGATTTTGGCATTCTACGACGTTGGAATCGTTTTCAAATATTTTTTTTGCAACTTTCGGTATATATTTGCTCATTTTGCAACTGTTTTGTACAATTTACAGTGTGGTTGGAAACTTTTTTTTTTTTTGGAAACGGCCGAAAATTCATGCGCGCATGGATGTCATCCATATAATCAAATCAACATGGCCCAATTGAAAGAAAACATTGTTTTTGCTCAGTTTCCTCTTAGCTAAACACAAAAGGTCAATAACCTGGACTGCCACAATGGTAACTGATTGTGTTGGGTTACATAATGTAGCATAACAGACTGAGTTTGTAGAGCCTGATTCCCATACCATACATGAAGGGATGTATTTGGTTTTGAGTAAGAATAATTAGTAAACAGCAGTGGTTTGTTGGGCTAGACCAGGTGAAGGTACTTTGCAAATGTTACCTTTCTAGTTACCTCCATTTTTCTGTTACCTCCATGAAAAATGGAGGTATTGTTTTTGACGTGTCTGTGTGTGTCTGTCTGTCTGTGTGTGTTCATGTTTCCGCACATTTGTAGTCAGCATAACTTCATAACGCCTTTATGGATTGTGATGATATTTGGTATGCTGATAAGTCTTATGAAGACAAAGGTCAAGGTCAAATATGGGCCTCCTGGTGGATGACCTCAGCACTGCAGCAGAACTTCCAGTTTTTGTATCTTTTGTCCTGAACATGCTATGGTCTTGACTTTTTTGTGACAGATAGCTTTTCCTGTCAGGAATAAGAGGTGTGGGTTTGGTCCCCCTAGCAGCTTGTTCTGGAACTGCAGGGGACTTTCTGGCAAAATCTTTAAAAGCCAATAGGTCCAGATAGAAACAACGTATTTTCATCATTTTTTTGGTGCGTAGGTAGCTGAGAGAGAGTTGTACATAATTAAATGCAAATTATGCAAATGAGGACTTAATTTGCATAATTAAGGAGGAAATTCTATAATTACAGTGTGTTATATAATAGAAGTATGACAAAGGAAGCCCATATTTCATGGAGGTATGAGATCTTGGAACTCTTGTTTTCATATTGTGTCATATTATGTTTTCCCTTGCACATTTCTCACCTTGGCCAGTCCAAAGTCAGCCACCTTTGCAATTGGGTTTTGTGCGGTGCCAGAGATCAGTACGTTGTCAGGTTTCAGGTCTCGATGCACAATTCTTTTCCCATGTAGGAAGGCGACAGCATCAGCTATGTGACCCATGAACAGGCTGTTGCAGGAGTCCCCATTCTTCAGCAGGAAGTCGTTCATAGTCCCAAGTGGACAAAACTCCATCACCAGCCACAAGCTGGAGTGAAAAAAATAAATACACGTAACATGCACATGAATTCACAAATAAATAAAAACCCTATAATAAAAGTCCCTATTAATAAACTAGAGTTCGGTGATCTCATACCTCCATGACATATTTAGTGCTTTTGTTAAACTTATGCATGGCGATGATCACCTGTAGATGGCTTAAAGCTACAATCCTGCTCATTAGCAAAATTTTTGCACAAATTATTCATACATGTATAGGCCCTACCTAGTAACATGCAACACACTGGTGAAATCCTTATCATTTGGCATGGACAACGTATGATATATGCAAGCACGGCCTCTGACATACTTTTGCCAAATCATGTTAGCCGTCCAAACTGACTAATTATGTGCATTTTTCACTGCAAATATGCAAATTATTAGGATCCATTTGCATATATTATATCAGTTGATCATATTCTCCACCCAATGACAGGGTTCTTTTAAGAAATAAGGCTATGCTAACGTTTCCTCATAAATTATGCAAATGCGGTTCTGATTTGAATAAATTATGTTTAATGATGTCCACCTTCACTGAACTTCCAATAATGGCAAGTATTAAATTGCCAGCAGTTACCAACATTGTACCGATTTTCCCTTAATTATGCAAAGTAGGTCTTCATTTCCATAATCAGAGATTTTTCAAACAAACCGTCCTGCAGTTCCAGAACAAGCTGCTTGGGGGCCCAAACTCACTTGACTTACCTAGACTTACCAAGAGCTACCTACCATCGAAAATTCATGATTGACCCTAGCATGTCCAGCATGATCGCGATATATCGAAACCGGAAGTTGTGCTGCAGTAAAAAGGGATGCCACTAGGGGGCCCAAAATTTAATCATTTCCAGTTTTCGCCACACCATACCAACACACCAAGTATGAAACCATCCAGCCGTTCTTGAGTTATCTTGTTGACTAAAAGAACAAACGCAACTGAAACCATGACATGTCATGGAGGTAATAATTCCTGCAACATGACTGTGTGCGTGATACTACTAGTATAAGTCCCTTACCTGTTTCCAACTTTACCCCACTCCACGAACAACACGACGTTAGGGTGACCTGGTTGGGACACAGCTACAAGGGAGCGAACTTCACGTACCGCCATCTCCATAGCGTTGTTGGGACCCATACCTACATATAAGTCCAGGACCTTCAAAGCGTACACGCCACCATCCTGCAAACGCCGGGCTTTGTGCACCGTACCAAAGGCCCCTCGCCCTAGTTTTTCCAACACGTCGTACTCCTTATCGATTCCTCCAGAAGTCCCGCGGGAAAGGCTAACGGCCATTATCCACGCTACACTCAAGTTTGGATTTAAAAATTGTAATCTAGGAGTCACTGGACAGCACGAAGTCGGTACTGCGACCTGTTGCAATGAAAATGTCTGCTGGGCGGGGTTCCGTGAAAGTGAAAGAGGAACTGTCGATAAATTATTAATGACTCTCCAGTCAGTTTCGGTCACGGGGCAAATTTTGTTCAGCTCGTCATTGTTGTTCATTGGTCGACCGGTCCCACATGTGCGATGATCCAAAACGACGACCGCAACAGAACGTTGACAGTATGCTAAACAAATCATAATCTAGTATAAAGCAATGTATATATCTAGTGATACAATGTATATATATATATGATAATGATATTATAGCATTTTATTATTACTTCCGATTACCAGTTTTTCATACAATCATAATCGGTGTTGTTTTTTTCTGCCACAACAATCCGATTGGGTGACTGTGTGCTGAACTGGCACACCAATTATTAATTAACCTTCGCCAAGAAGGTCATGTTTTCCGTAGAGTGTGTGTGTGTGTGTGTGTGTGTGTGTGTGTGTGTGTGTGTGTGTGTGTGTGTGTGTGTGTGTGTGTGTGTGTGAGTGTGTGTGCGGTAACTCAAGAAGCGTAAATTGTCATGAAACTTGGTAGGTGGGTAGGTCTTGGTGAGACCAAAATAGATTCCCCCCTGGCGGCTGTCCTTGATACTGCAACGTAACATACAGGACTTCTAGTTTTGACATCTCATGATCTGGACATGCAAGGGTCACGAATATTGCATTGAAGATATCTCTTGTGCTGGCGGAAAGAAATGACATTACTTCAGTCCCCCTGAGAGTTTGTCCTGGAACATCAGGAGCATTTCTTTGCAAAATCTTCACCAATAGATGAATGGGTCAAATAAAGATCATTTATTGGAAAATTGCTAAGGTGTATTTCCCTCCTAAACCCATAAAGTTGAATTATGAGAATACGAAAAATTGCCAGCATTTCGAATTTGTAAAATAAAAGCCATAATGAAACTTTGAAACTTTGAAACTTTATTCACACACCTTCTTGCAGACAATAAGTCTGAATTGACAGGTATTTACAATGAAATAGATTAAAAACGCTAAGGAATTAAAATACATGTAGACAATCAAATTCAGTTTAAAATCAATAAATATGATAAAACTTGTATAGTCTATTATATATAATACAATTCATGAGGTCACGTCGGTATTTACAGATTGTCAGTTGAAGTGTTTGTTCAGCAAGTTTGTCATGTAAGGTATCGCAGAGTTTTTGTGGCGAGCTGTTCTACAGATGGGAATGTCCAGTTTGTTCGCACTACGTGTGTTTCTGCCGGACATCTGTTTACGGGATGGGGGTAACCAGTCACTGAATTCAGAGTTGAGGAGTTTCTTGGCGAAGGTGAGGCATAGGTGAGTACGTCGTTCTGCCAAGGAGTCAAGGTTCAGTGTAGACAGTGCTGAGGTATAGTCTGTGTACTCTGTGCCCAGGATGATTCTGCATGCTCGTTTCTGTTGCCGTTCTAGTCTTGCAGACTGTGTACAGGTCAGGGCCGGGTGCCACACCGGTGCCGCGTATAATTAGATCATTGTAGTTTTCAAGCCTTCATTTTTTGATTGGGGCAATGAACATTAGCTTTGGAATCTTTGGAAGCTATATGGATTCCATCAACTTTTGTCCGTTTTCTTCACATGTTGGGCACAGCATAATAAAGTGGAATTCGCCTTCAATATCCTCCGTGCAAGTCGGACACAATCTCTGATCGGTTTGTGTATTATAGTGTCGGCCCTTTTCGATTTTCAGACCGTGTGAACTGATTCTCGTTTTAGTTATGCTTGTCGTAAAAGATTTGTTTTGAATCGATAATAGATAATTTTCCAGACCGAAATGTTTGTTTTTTTTAAATAATTTTTGGAATAAGTATGAATTTTATTGAAGTTTTCCAACTAGAAATGTATCTTGTAAACGTTTCTTGAATATGCATCCAAATTGGTTGACATTGACATGAGTGGTCCTTCATCATCATCGACGTTATCATGCTTCTTACTTCTTGTTTGCTGTTTAGAGAGAAGATCTATATTTGAGCACTGCTTCGTGAAGGTATTGTCAAGATTTAAGGAATGGTGTATTTTTCGCCCCCTTTTCCTGACGGTTAAGTTGTTTTCGTATAATTAGATTATAGCAGCTTCACTGATTATTTACCAGTAGTCAAGTGTCTAAAAATGTCTTAAAAGTATATGCTGTGTTTCTCTAAGGACCTTTTTACATGTGGCACTTTTCATTATAATGCCCGTGCAACTTAAAAAAGGATGACAAGTTTAAAAGTATATTTACGAGTATATTGATACAACATGTAACGTTACATCATCTCGGTGTCATGTGATGCATTCTGACGTAACATTCACTGAGTGAATCATCAGGTAATATTTGACCCACGTCTTGAGAGTACTTCCGGTTCACGGAATCCCTCCTTCCTGTCCGAGGACCGGAGGTGTGAGGAGCGGATTTCGAAGCGTCTCTCGACTTTTCGTACGATTCAACAGGTTTAGAGGCTCGACAGGCGATTGTGCGTGAGGGGACTTTGAGGTAAAGAATGACGATGCGTATCATTACTAAAATTGCCACAGATTAGAAAGATTTGGCCGAATGTATGTCCATAAGTATGTTGAGTTCAGTGTGGAATTATAATTTATTCATAAGACATAACGGACAGAATTCGCGCATCTAAGGCTCTTTGTTTGTGTGCTATGAGTAAACATTAAAATTGTATCAAAGTATGGAGGAGATAAGCAAATAATCCCCGATCGTTTACGCCCAGAAGATGACGACCGTATTAAAATAATAAGAAAACAGAGTTGGCGCTCTCCGGTTTGTTTGCAACACTTGGTAGGAGAAGGGTCATCAAGGGGTTAGACGGATCTTGTTCAGTTTTAGTACATCAGAAACGTTGTTTATTTTACCGTGAAGGATGATAGTACTCATTCATAGCAACACGTCCCTTATCGATCTGGATGAGTAGCAATGTTGGGTTGATATGTAATCGTTGATGTGTAACGTAAATGGTGTACTGTAAAACCCTCCCTCCGCCTCGGTCGAAGATTTTCCCGCCTTCAGAGTCCGACATCTGGATTCATTTACTAGTATGAGAAAGCTTAAGGGGAGGTTCACTAATGCCTGTTTGTCAATTGCGGTATGATAACTATACTTAAATATATGGATCATGCTGAAATGATGTTCAATTCCAATCCTATTTCGAAATATTTGACAAAATCTGTGAAATGTGCACGAACATATTTCATTGGACCAAGGACAATCTATCTTGTGATGAAAGCGTCTTGATTGGACAGTGATTCGTGTTTTAGTGTGCATACCCAGTGTCAACGATGAAAGCCCCCGAGACGTAAAACAGAACGCACGAGATATTTGCATTTCATGTTTTTATTTTGCATTTCTATGTTTTGAGGGGGCTATGGCATCATCTGACGGAATGTGTTTACCTCTTGTGGGGGGGGGGGGTGCTTCACTCTACTCTAAGCATTGTGAATTCTTGCTGTACCTCCTCACATGTAATTTGATAGCACACTACTAGGGTCACAAAAGTGGCCTGGCAGTCTAGTTAAGCCAGTGTCTAAACCAGTTCAATTTAAACATTACATTTGAATTCATGCCCTTTTTCATAGCAAACGTCATTGACCTTTGTACAACATGTTGTATTGCACATTACCGGCAGACTGATCATGTGACTGGTAATGATGGGACAAATGCATTTTTGTCATTTTTGTTTCTATTATTCAAGACATGGCACAGGTGAGGTTTTTTTCTAATTCCTTTGTTAATCTGATGTCACATTCCATTGTAACAGTTATGTTTTCAGGAAGTGGTACCAGTAGTAGTAACCTCAACAGAGGGTGTCAGACTAACAATTTTTGCTCTAATCAGCTGTTACCTTGCAGTTCTTTACAAACACACAGTGTATCTAGTTGTATGCATGCAGTGCAGTCCCCATAACAATAATACATGTACTTTGTTTATGGAATTATGTTAACGGTATTACTTACTAGACCCTTGCTGGACCACACGCACTGATGGTTGTACATCTTGTCATTTCAGTTGTTCAGAATACTAGTACAGTAGACATGGCGTCAACAAGCAGCGTGCAGCATTCTGATGATGGCAGGAGGGGATCTGGAGTGGATTCTGCTGACACCGTCATCAACCGGAAAGGGAACGGAGGAGGAAAGGGTGGAAAAGAGTCTCGCCGAGGGGGAAAAGTACACAAATGTGAGGAGTGCAGCAAGGCGTTCAGCAAACTGAGTCTCCTGAAGACCCACATGCGGAGCCACACTGGGGAGAAACCCTACCAGTGTGCAGAGTGCAGCAGGAAGTTTAGCCAGCTGGGTAATCTGAAGATACACATGTGGACTCACACAGCGGAGAAACCCTACAGGTGTGAGGAGTGCAGTAGGCAGTTCAGTAGGCTGGATCAGCTGAAGTCCCACATGCGAACTCACACTGGTGAGAAACCCTACAAGTGTGAGGAGTGCAGCAGGCAGTTCAGTCAGCTGGGAAGTCTGAAGATGCACATGCGGACTCATACAGGAGAGAAACCCTACAGGTGTGAGGAATGCAGCAAGCAGTTCAGTCAGCTGAGTCACCTGAAGTCTCACATGCGGACTCACACAGGAGAGAAACCCTATACCTGTGAGGAGTGCAGCAAGCAGTTCACTTCACTGACTTCGCTGAAGAGACACATGCGAACCCATACAGGGGAGAAACCCTACACCTGTGAGGAGTGTAGCAGGAAGTTCATCCAGCTAAGTGATGTGAGGAGACACATGCAAATCCACACAGGAGAGAAATCCTACACCTGTGAGGAGTGTAGCAGAAAGTTCAGCCAGCTGGGTGATCTGAAGATTCACATGCGAATCCACACAGGAGAGAAACCTTACACCTGTGAGGAGTGCAGGAAACAGTTCATTACTCTGAGGTCCCTGAAGATCCACACGCGAACCCATACAGGGGAGAAACCCTACACCTGTGAGGAGTGCAGTAAGCAGTTCACTACTCTGAGTTTACTGAAGAAACATGTGCGAATCCATACAGGGGAGAAACCCTATGCATGTGAGGAGTGCAGCAGGAAGTTCAGTGAACAGAGTAAATTGAAAAGACACATGCAAACCCACACTGGAGAGAAACCCTACACCTGTGAGGAGTGCAGCAGGAAGTTCATCCAGCTGGGTGATCTGAAGATTCACATGAGAACCCACACAGGAGAGAAACCTTACACATGTGAGGAGTGTAGCAGGAAGTTCAGTCAGCTGGGTGATCTGAAGAGACACATGTGAATCCACACGGGAGAAACCCTACACCTGTGAGGATTGTAGTAAACAGTTCACTACTCTGAGTTCCCTGAAGTCTCACATGAGAACCCATACAGGTGAGAAACCCTACACCTGTGAGGAGTGTAGCAGGAAGTTCAGTGAACTACATAGTCTGAGGAAACACATGCAAACCCACATGGGAGAGACCTGAGGAGGTGAGTCAGGTGATAGAAGAAGTGCAGCAGACAGTGTATCTGTTTAACTTACGAAGCATATGTGGACTCAGACATGGTGCTTTTGCTATCTCATATAGTCATATATTAGAGGCATGTTTCGTTCACTTTTTAGTTTCCATTCACTTATTCGAGTTATTTACATTGCAAAGTAACTTTTCTTGAAGTTCACTTGTCTATAGACACTACAGATAGAGAACTTAGAAGTAAGCTAAGTTGTGGAGGTTAAACCTCACCAAGTAATGATGTCACTGACTTCACGTGGTGAATTTTTGAAAACATTACTTTATTTAGGAGTTAAGTTTCTATCTCATGGTTGATCGCTAGGGCTTTTTATTTAGTTTTGAAGCAGTAGGTTGGACATTGAAGCAATAGCTTCAATATACTTCACAAGTAAGCTATGACTTTACTTGTTTAAAGTCATGTAATGTAGAATGTTGTTCTGGTATGTAGTGCATGGTTTCTATTAGTTTGGAGTAACTGGTCAATATGTAGATACATGTAGTTAGGTATAGGTTCTTGGCTTTGATTCTTTGATTTGGATGTGATAGGATGATAGCTATAGAATAGTGAATGATGTTGTTTCTTGTTTGGAGAATGTTTATTGCTGTTACTGTTAACTAGAATGTTACTGTTGTTTTTATATTGGTAAGCCCGACTGATAAAGCTTGTTGTTGAGGTTCATGTAGGTAGATTTATTTAGAGGTTTATTTTTGTTATATTTACATTTGATTATTAAAATGTATTGCAGAGAAAGTTTATTTTCTGATTTGCATTTTTTTTTATTGTTCAATGTCCTTGACCAGTTAGTCATACATTAGAGGACAAAAGAGACTCAACTAAAAGAGGCAGCTAAAATAGGTTTAGACTCCAATCAATAACATTGAAACAACTACTAAGTCTGTAATACCCCCAATATGTTATACATCAAAAGAGCCTCTACTTTCGAAATATCATGCGAGTTTGGCTTGGCATCTATAGTAATCATTTACATGGTCAATAATTCAATAAAACATCCCTTTTTGTGAATTGATTTTATTATAGTAACAAATATATATAGATTTATAATAATAATATCTACAACATTTCAGACAAGTCCTGATAACATCAGGATTGCATGCATGCATGAAACAAAATGTCACCAAGGTATTATTAGGGGTGTCCTGGGCTTTTGTCTTACATGGTATTCTACTTTCTGGGGCTTTGTAGAATACAGTTCCCTGTTAGATGGTAGGACAGACCAAACAAAAATAGTTGACACTGTGTACACCGAACGATAAGTAAACCAATCTACCTGGCTTCGATGGACACAATTGGCAATGATATTACAAACCAACCCTGTCTCTAACATACAACTGTGTAAGGCCATGTTGATTTGATTATATGGATGACATCCTCTGGGAACCCCAAAACTGATGCGAACGTGCGAATAAAAAAAAAGTTTGGAAAAAAAAAAAGTTGCTTTCATTATGAAATCTACGTGGTTATGAAGGTTGAACATGGCGAACAATCTACTCTTCGTTCAGTAAGATAATTCTTTCAATCAGTGACTATTAAATCCTAAGGTACATAACTCTGAAATCTACTCTTCAAATTAATTTCTTTACATTTTCGTCTTTTTGCGTTTGATTTTGGCATTCTACGACATTGGTATCGTTTTCCAATATTTTTTTACAACTTACTGTATGTATTTGCTGATTTTGCAACTGTTTTGTAAGATTTACAGTATGGTTGAAAACTTTTTTTTTTTGGTAAACGGCCGAAAATTCATGCGCGCACGGATGTCATCCATATAATCAAATCAACATGGCCTAACGTGTAAATGTGTGTGTGTGTGTTACAGTTATAACAGGTAAGGTGCTGGTTCACAGTCAGATTGGGTACAGCCGCTCTCCCACCCTAGTGGCAGCCTATACCTCATGTTGTACCAATCTATCAGGCTCATACATGGGAAGAGGTACAGATGTGTACCAGACATGTACATGTACCAGTCATGTACTAAGTCATGTATAAACAGATATACATGTACCTGAGTTATGTTAAAACAGACATGTACATGTATCTGTCATGGAAAAGTTAGACATGAACATATGACTGTTTATTTCCACCTGAGGAATAAACATTCTGAGTACCTATTAAATTCCCATCATTTACCAGTTAGGTATTACAGCAATCTGCCATAAATTATGCAAATGAGGTCTTGATTTGCATAATTTTTATCTAATAATTTTCCCTTCATCCAAGTTACATATGTCATGATCTAGAAATTCCTATCATTTATCAGTCAGTATTAACTGCTATGTCCAGAGTTATTCTGCTCCAAAGTCACCGGCTAAAACGCCACTGCACTTCCAATGAAAGCTGCTAGAGGGACCAGACATATGCATCTTCCTCCTTAGCCCAAAAGCTTATCAAAAGTGAAAAATTATGACCATAGCAAGTTCAGAACAAAAGATACAACAGCCGGGAGTGCTGCTTCAGTACCAAGGAGAGTCCCTAGGGGGCCAAATTCTAATCATTAACGTTAGGAGATTTGGGCCACCCTATCCTCACACCAAATATCATTAGATTCCATTTATACCTTCCTGAGTTGTGCTGTTCACCGACAGACAAACGCTATTGAAAACATAACCTCCATGACGGAGGTAATAATAAAGCTGTTTTTCACCCCTATGTAACGACACATGGTACGGTCCGTCCGACCAGATTGCTGCGCAAGCGTAGTTTCATACGCACGTTGTGCAGCGTGTTGTAAGACGGCACTGCGCGCTGTTTCCACAACATTTTGGTAAATTTTCGGCTTTTTGTCAGCAAATTATCCGTCTTAAAGTATGCAGTTAGTCAAAGGAACGTTTCCAGGGTGGATTTATGCCGTTCTGTGGATATTTGAGGGAGGAACTGAGTATTTCCTGACCGGACGAAGTTTGGACAAGAAACGAAAATCGTCATGGCGGGAAGGACGGCGTGGTGCTGAGAAGACTCGTTCTTTCATGAGGTAAGACAACAAACTCTCCCTTAATGTGCATGTATTTCCACCAAACCTGTAGCAACAGGTCACGTTATATTCTGCTGTGTATATGATAACGGTTATATTCCGTGTAAACTTATGGAGCAAACTGGCGTGTTCCTCAGAACGGACCTCGCCTTTGTCTCCTACCTCGTAGTTCCATAAACCAATTTTTGTGCTTGACCATCTTATATAGATTCCAAAGTTGTTTTCTTTGATAGCATGTCTTTAGAAAGCACTGGCTGTATTTGTCCCTGTTGAGTGGCATTTTGAGAAGCTATGGGCTGATTTCCGTGTTGGAAAACTGTCAGAAACACGTTTTGTTTTGTTGGAAATTTCCGCCGCATCTTGTATTAAGAAGTTGCTTTCATGACACGGAGAACATAAGCTACATTAAGTGGCACAATTTTTTTGAGAGAACCTATAGCATGGGCTAATTTCTGTGCAGAAAAACGGCCAGAAACACGTTTTTTGTTGGAAATTTCAGCCCACGTGGCAGTAGATTTGGCTGGTGAACACCTGTTGGAATGTGCCGCACGTGGTGCATAATTATTCAAATTGAATGTTCGGAACTTCCCGCCAAAAAATTCCGTAAACAAGGCTTTGTTTCTAGGGCTTTAAACACTGGATGCATGTGCTCTTTTGTGCACCCAAAATTGAAGGTGCCCCCTTTTTTTGGTAACCCCCAAAACTGATGAGAATGATGATTTCATTTCAAAGCCATTCAATGTTGCCTGGAGTAATAGTTTTGGGCATGAGTTATAACTATTGTATTTACCGGCTGACGGCAGGTTATAGAGATGGCTTTATCGTACGTTGGCACATTGGTAAGTTGGTTGGGAGGGTAGTTTGTACATTGAACCAATTCACAAACCATTGATAGGCCATGCCATGCTTGACTGTTTCACTTTCTGGTCTTTCATGATTCACATTAAATATTCTCATATAGTGATATACACTGTACATAGTAGTAGTCAAGTACCGCCACATTAATATTCTGTATCAGCTCTTGATACACGAAAGAAATCGTTTTCTTGCAACTGCATAAATTATCGAGACGCTCATCTAAGCTCCGGACGATGAGAGTTCGTACCCCAATGTTGGTGTTCCTTTTTAATTTTCTTTTTAACATCCGTTATTTTGCTTTTTTTATTGTTCTTGCTGAGATATAAGATAACTTTTTACTCTTTTGTAGTTTTGCACTTCGATGCTTCGTCTGGCATGTTTTGGCAAGCTAAGTTTGCCGGTTCGAATCCCGCTGTCAGCATTATTTTGTTTTTCTTTTTAACCAGTCCGAAATGCCAGTTCTTTTTTAAGTTCTCCCGACTTGGCGATGCCTTCAATTAGTTTTTTTTCTGAGGCTGGTCCAGCTTTTTAAAAAGCTTTTCTTGTTCCTCATGTTTCTTCTAATCCTCCTCCTTCTCCTGCCATTTCTATAAATTGATGCAACTCCTTGACTTTTGGGCCAAATAACATGAAATTTGGCATGAAGGTAGAGTGGGCAAATATTCCCAGGCATTTTTTAAATTTTTGTGATACATGCTTTTAGAATGGTTTTATTTGAGCTTTTTGGCTGTTATAAATATGTACTATAGCAGTGTGTTACCATATTTAGGCATGAGTCATCAGAATGGCATGTAAGGCAAGCAACCAATAGGCATGCAGCTTTTCTCTATTCTTCTTGCTGATTGGCTGTTGGGATTTTTTGGGTTGACTCAATTACCAACTTTACAAGTCATGTATGAATTGCATTCAAGTGTTTTGGTAGGTATGACAAGCTTTCCTGCTCCAGAATTGGAATGCGGGTCATAAACGCTTGTTTTTATCTTGAAAATCAACAGTTTGCATTACTAGTATGTCCCTAGAATTCATACTATACTTATATCATTGTAAAGCATTGTTTTCCCTTGTATTTCTCCTTCTTTCCCTGCCATGTCTTGAAATGTTGTGAAGCTATGCTGAATTTGCTCCAAGGCAAATGTCTGCCTTTCTAGTTTATATACTAGTATAGTTTGGCGTGTCCTGATGTTCCTACCTTTACTAGGGGAAACCTGTGATGATTGGGCATCTTCGGCCCACACCAGAGCAGATGAGAAAACAGTTAACACTATGTTTTACAACTTACATGTTTATTTCATCTCTTAACTGCTGGGCATAATACACAACCAGTATCAAATTGCAAAAACTTCTTGGCCTACAGTCTACGTCTTATTGAAGCAAAAAAAATACTGTGCAATTTTACCATCTTTCATGGTCATTCAGTGTTAACTAGACAGAGATGCTTTTCGCTTCACACTCCTTGTTTATATTTCAGAGCATGTCCTGAGGGTCAGCTGTCCTGACTGGCGACTCCAGTCCAAACAAGTTGACTGCAAGTAAGTCAGACTCTTTAATTCTTTT